ACAATAAACTAAAACAAACTGCTGAAGCAGGTGGCAAAAATATGGAGAACCAATAGGATTACAAGGCTTTATGAAATACAATGATAGTAGTTAAATTTTATTGAGTACTTACTATGTACCAGGCATTGTCCTAAGTGTTTGTGGTGCTTATGGGTTGGACTTCCTGGCAGGAGTTTCACTCTGTACTGTCAGTCTAATGTTCTTGTAGTAATCATTTTTCCCACACCAACAGAGATTAACTAGGTCGCATATGACCCTGTTTTCAGTGATGAGATTAAAGATGATATCTTATAGAAGATGCCATAGGAATGTCTATTATAAATAGATCTTCTATTAACAGTAGGCCCAGGTAAGAACAGTCAGTTTTCTGTCTCCAGGAATCATGTCTAGATGTGATTGATGCTTGCATGTGTTGCATCTATCTGGTGTCATGAGGGGAACGAGCCCAAGCAAGAGGCTGCTTCAGGGAGGACTGAATGAATCTCCACTCTCTCATTCCTGTACATTCCTTACCTCTCAAGTCCTTGTAATGAAAGATAACTCTCTTTATTATCTGAGCATATTAGAGCCAGGATTTCTTTCTCTTATTAGAAACTAAGGTTGCCTCACTGATCAAGCTCAAATATCTTGCAAACATTTCAAACTGCTGGGATAATCTAATGATGGCGATTTTTCAGATGATGAAGCTGAGTGTTGTGGATGCTAATGTTGCCCTGCACATGTACAATTTACCACTGACAGGTCTCAGGAATTACAGAATTAAGTTATGAAAGATCAGCCACCATGTCTCACAATAGGCTTAATTTTGGGGTGCAATTCACATGGCACTATCCATGGGATCAGGCAGAATCTAGTCTCTGCAATGACCACAACCTTGTGTAAGTCCTTTCTCTGACCTATTCACCTTCTTTCACTTCCCTTGTGCTGATAACATTCTCCACAAAATTACTGTACCAAGAACTTCTGCCTCAGATTCAGTTTCTATGAATCCTGACCAAAGAAACTTATCTTAGAGAATGGAAATCATTTGTCAAACACCACAAAGCTAGATAAAGAGCAAGTTAGGTTTCACCCTCAGATAAAATGCATTTAGCCATCACGCTATCCATTCCTTTAGTAATAACTTGGTGATGGATGAGTCAAGCATTCTGCTCATTCTAGTGAATGTAGCCCAAATCAGATGACAAAATCACAGAAAAGAAGATACCCTACCAATGAGCATCCTCAAGGCTCCCTTCATGTCCCTGTTCCTCAGGCTGTAGATGAAGGGATTCATCATGGAAGTGACCACAGTGTACATCATTGAAGCCACTGCAGTCTTCCTGGAAGAGTTTGTCACTGCAGAACTAATGTACACTCCAAAAGCTGTCCCATAGAACAAGGTAACAACGGAGAGGTGAGACCCACAAGTGGAAAAAGCTTTATACTTTCTTCCTGATGATGACATTCTCAAAATAGAGGAAACAATTTGAATATAAGATAAAACGATTCCAGAAAGGGGAACACCAGCAAATATGCTAGCCACAGAATATATCAGGATGTTATTGATGAGAGTATCAGAACACGCAAGCTTGATGACCTGAACAACTTCACAGAAAAAGAGGGGGATTTCCAGGTGTGTGCAGAAGGACAGCCGCAACACCATCAGACTGTGGAGCAGGGCATCCACAATGCTAATGAACATGGAGAGTAGAATCAGCAGTCCACAGAGTCGGGGGTTCATGATAACTGTGTACCTCAGCGGGTGGCAAATGGCCACATAGCGATCATAGGCCATTACTGCAAGGAGAAAATTTTCCCAACAAACGAAAGTCAGGATGAAGCAGATCTGGCTGATGCAGCCTGCATAAGTGATGCTCTGATTCTGTGCTTGGATGTTCACCAGCATCTTTGGAATTCTGGTTGTGCTTAAACAGATGTCAGTAAAGGACAGATTAGAGAGAAAGAAATACATGGGTGTATGGAGATGGGAGTCAGAGCTGACAGCCAGGACAATGAGCATGTTTCCCAGGACGGTGACCAGGTACATGGACAGGAACAAGCTGAAAAAGATGGTCTTCAGTTCTGGATCCTCTGTCAGTCTCATGAGAAGAAATTCTGAAACATCTGTTTTGTTTCTGAGTCCCATGTTGTCGATGAATATGATGGAAAAGATGTGGTCCCTTGACCAGGAGCAAGTGTGTCCTCCGAGGCAAACATCGTCTGGGGAAGAGAAAGAGTAAAATGAAGGGAAGCTTTCTGTATGCATGTAATTTTGTTATTTTGAAAAAATACCTCGAGTTAGTAAAGCAGCATGTAAACATTTATTAATTCTGGAAAGGATTAAGAAATGATCCCTTTAAATATTACACTGCCTGTGCTGTTCTGATTAATTAAAATATTTTTAAATTTTATTAGGAGAAATAGGTAGTCGAGGGAAGCAGGCTGATGACTCTATCAGGGTCTGCACTTCCTTCCTCAGAGACCTCACAACCCGGAAACAGAGATAGTACAAATGTGTGTTTAAAACCCAGAGTTGGAAGACACAGTGAAACTGACCAAGTCTCCCTAAGACCACTATAAGAATTAAGTAAATGCCAGCGAATTTTATAACAATCATCATGTTTGCAGATGAGGATACGCCTGCTGAGGAGGAAAATGTTCTTTGCCATGGTCGAGAAAATATGAGACTAGCAGAATGAGGGTTGATTGAGAATCAGAAGAGAGATACAAGGACTCATATCAAGAAGATGGAAGACAGGCAGGAGGCAAATGGTTGTCTTGGTTCTAATCATCCATTGCATGTATGCTCCTCACAGTTTCCCCTGGATGAACTTGTATTAAAACACTGGCCCTCATTCTCAAACTTTAACTAAGGAACATTAGGTTACCCAGACAACGTCACTGTGGAATGGGGCCGGACATCTCTCCTAGATATTGAATGATGGAGACTGAAGCTGTATCCTTAGGAAGAGGAGAGGGACTGAATGAAGCACCAGGCTCCTGGGCAAGAGGAATCATCTCTGGGAGGGGACTCAGCAGTCATGTTTCTTTACTGAGAAAAGGCTATTGAGTGAAGTGGTCACAGACAAACACTTTATAGTCTGTGTATCCCTGGAGGATAAATATCTGAAGCTCATCATTAGCCAATTTTATTATCATTCTGATCCCAGAGCTGTGCAAATCCGTAAAGACCAAGAGTATAGAATGGGGGAATTCAGGATGGTTGAGTCTCTGATGCTGTGAGGCTAAGTTTTCACCACTCACTTCTCCACCTGTTTCTGCTTACATCTATTTCATACACTTTGCAAAAATGGACCCACTACCCTTCTCTAATTGGATTCCAGTATTGTTTTTTTTAGGTAAAACCAATGGCATATCTATATAAGCAATGATATCAGGAAGCCTGATTATAATTGCATATTTTTTCAGCTATAAGGAGGAATAAAATTCTGACACATGGATGAACCTTGAAAACATTATTCTAGGTGAAATAAGATGAAAAAGGACAAATATTCTATGATTTCAGTTATAAGGTACCTAGAATAAGTAAACTCATAAAGACAGACAGTAGAATGGTGGTTACCAGGGGAGCAGAAGAGAAGGATTGATTTTTGAGTGTGCTAGAATATATTAATAGTTGTTTCTGTCTGTACTGAGTAATATCACACTGATATTGATGGGGTGAGCAAGGTTAGATTTGGACATATTTCATGGGAAGTTTATTTGCCCTACCTTTTTCTTTTTGTTGTATTGAAAGAACAATTGTGAATTTTCTTTCTTGAGTCATTTGGTTTAGTGGCTTGCTCTCAAATGCTTGAATTTCTCAGTCTTTACCTTTTGGATTGCACTTACTCTCTTAAGAAATGCTTAACTCCTCTGAAGTCACAAAAATATTTTTGTATATTGTCTTCTGAAATAGTTAATCATTTTGACTTTTGTGTATAACACTTTGGTACATTGGAATGATTTTTGTTTGTTTTTTTATCTAGAAAGCAAGATATTATTTATCAGTTTTAATTCCTTTTTTGAGAGGTTTTTAATGTGTAAAATATATATAATATAAAATTTACCATTTCATCCACTTTAGGTGTATAGTTCCATGGCATTAAGAACATTCACAGTGTTGCGTGACCAGAACCACCAACCACTTCCTGAACGCTTTTATCACTTCAAATAGCAATTCTGTACCCATGAAACAACAACTCCCCATTTCATTCTCTCCTCAGAGCTTTCAGAAGGAACTCAACACTTTCAGTCCAGTGTAGCAGTCTTCAGACTTCTGACCTGCAAGACCACAGGAGAATACATTTGTGTTGTTTTAAGCTAGTATGTTTGTGGCAATGTGCTACAATGACATCAGGAAACTAATATAGGACATATGTCCCAAGTCGGAATGATGATAAAAACAATGGCTTCTGGATGTCTCTTTGTAAAGTTTACATGTGCATTGCAAAGAGACCCAAGAAGAGGCAGTCAGTTTTCTGTTTCTGGTTGTTATTGTGTCTGAAGTGTCCCTGCACTACTGTGTGCATTGCTGTCCATCAAGAGAACAGGCTTAGGAGGAAGCCAGCACATGGCAGAATGAACTGCAGCCCTGTGATTCTGTGCCTGAACCTATTCAATCTCTGAGGCAATTGATAGGAAAGATGATCATTGTTTTTATTGTTAGACTGTATTGGGATTGAGACTTTTGCCTCATTACTGCTGACGGCATGCATCCTCACTGATAGAGTTGAAGTATCTTAAACCATCCCAAAATGTAAACTAATATAATTGTACCAACTTTTTAGATGAGGAAACTGAGTTTAGAAAGTTGAAGTAAATTGTCAAAGGCCACCTAGCAAAGGTTTAGCAGAGGCAGGATTCAAACCCAGCTGGTCTGATTCCAAAATTCTCACCCTTAACCATTTGATCTCTGGTCATGTGTATTTAAATAAGTTGGCCCAGCTTTCTGGATCACTTATGGTTTATTTCTCTTTGTCACGTACTCACAGCGTAAGCCCAAAGCAATTGACACATCAATGGAAAGATGATATTCTAGAGATGAGTTTCGTCAAAGCCCCCATCATGTCTTTGTTTCTTAGACTGTAGATAAAGGGGTTAATCATAGGGGTGACCACCGTGTACATCACTGATACTATTGTAGTCTTCCTGGAGGAGTGAGTAGGTGCAGAACTAAGGTACACCCCAAAACCTGTCCCATAGAACAAGGAAACAACTATTAAGTGTGACCCACAGATGGAAAATGCCTTATACTTTCCACCAGCTGATGGGATTTTCAGGACAGAGGAGACAATTTGAGTCTAGGAGAAGATTATACCAAAGAGAGGAACAACACCCAACAGGCTGGTCACTAAATATACGAGGATGTTACTGATGAGGGTATCAGAACAGGCGAGCTTCAGAACATGAGCTAGTTCACAGAAAAAGTGGAGAATGTTCAGGTCTATGCAGAAGGACAGCTGCCTGCCATCAAAGTATGCACCAGGGCATCCAGAACACTAATAAGGAAGGAAAGAAGGATCAGAAGCCCGCAGAGTTTGGGGTTCATGATAACATTGTGCCTCAGTGGGTGACAGATGGCCACAAATCGATCATAGGCCATCATTACCAGAATTCCATTTTCCAATCCAGCAAAAGTTAAGAAAAAGCAGATCTGAGTGAGACAGGCTGTGTAACTGATGGATTTTCCTCTGTGTCTGAATGTTCACTAGCATCTTTGGGATTGCGGTGGTGGTGAAACAGATATCGATGAAAGACAAATTAGAGAGGAAGTGCCTTGGGGTGTGGAGGTGGGAGTCAGAGATGATGGCCAAGATGATAAGCAGGTTCCCAAGCACAGTGACCAGGTATATGGACAGGAACAGGCAGAATAGGAGAGGCTGCAGTTCTGAATCCTCTGACAGTCCCAGGAGGAGGAATGCTGCAGTCTCAGAGAGATTTCCTGATTTCATATTGTTGATAGCCCTGATTAAAAAAAAACGATGGAGGTGACAAGAAAACAAAACTTAAGAGAAACTTCCTTAATCTTGTCTATATTTTGGAATCAAATCAGTTACAGATATTTTCTCCTGCTGCTCTTCCCTCTTCCTTTCCTCTCCGTTTCCAGCTTTATATTCCCATGATTCTTCCCCCTGCACCGCTCCCTATCCCAAGTCTTTATTTTTCATCTATTCGTTGTCACGTATGGGGACTCGATGAGAAGAAAATTAGAATGAAATACTGTCCTCTGCTTTAAGATGCTTCCAAGCAAACAATAATCACAAAATAAAATTACTAAGGCTGATTTCTAGAATAGAGTTTGGGAAAATGCAGCCAGTGGGCAAAATCCAGCCTCCTATTTCTTTTGGTAAATAAAGGTTTACTGAAACACAGCCATTCCCTTATGTATTGTCCATGGTGGCTTGCGTGTTACAACATCCGAGTTGAATTCTTGTGACAGACGTCATACGGCCCACAAGACCTAAAATCTTCACTTTCTGGCTCTTTGCTAGAAAAATCTTCCTACCTCTAGTCTAGAAGCTTGACTACATTTAGGTTCAATTTCTGGCAAACATCCTTAAGTATTTTCACGAGGAAGTACGTAGTGTCTGTTTATCCTGCTTCTGGTAATTATTGCCTGGATCCATTAATTCTTCAGGAGTTGCAAAATGGTGACATCCTAATTCACGCTTCATTTGTTGGCTGAAATACTTCCATAAAGAGGAACTTTCCCTAATCAAATAGGTGATCACTCTGACATAGAGTTCTTATAAGAAAAGCAGAATACATCTTCATTCCTGTATTAGCCACTTTTTAATATGATAAATTGGCTTTCAGCATTATCTAAAGATGAACACTATGTCTTCATGAACTAATTTTAAATGTATTTGATATATTTCAATACATTGAAGTTGTTATTCAGATTGATTCTCCAATTGTCCTATCTTTGGCCAGTGAAAGCCTCCTCAAATTGCCTCCTGAGTCCTTCTGAAATGAAACTAGCACTCTCATATCTCCCTTAAATTTGGCATGAAAGATGGTCTATGTCTGTCAATGCCTTGGTCTTGAGTCCCCTGTGTTCCCATGATCCCACAGTGTTTACTGTCTGACAACACCAAAACAGGGTACACCTGCAGGACCTGAGATCAGTCAAGACTAGAGAATGCTGCCTGACCAAAGGAAGGCTTGTGTGAATCTGTCATGCATTAGACGTGTGTATATGTGAACGATTTTAACAGACACTGGGCACAGGTCTTCTGCTCCACAGAGTCACTTAGGAACCCAGGCTGATAGGGGCTCCACAGTCTTACAGTTGTATCATTTGGAACATATGGCATTTTTAGTCACAAATGTGGTGGATTTAAAATGTGTCCACAAATTCTTTGATACTTTCCATTAAGGAAAGATAAGTATGCTGGGAAAATATGATGATGCAATTTTCTCTTTATTATCTGAAGGCTAAAATGTCCCCCTTGGAAACTAGAGTGAAGCATTTATTTACCATAACAGAATAGTGTGAGAGATAATATATAAGGAACCTTAAGCAAATAAAATAACAATATTTGTGTGACATCCTCAGAGTCCTAGAGAGAAAGTATCTCTTAATTAGCTACTCCTGATATCCAGGCCACTTAACAAAGGCCCCAGAATGGTGGATGAAGAGACAGAAGTGAAATAGAATCAAATATGCTCTGATAATTATACTTTCAGGATAATGATGGGACTTACAACAATAAATGCAAAACGTTTGTCATAGTACATGCAAATAGTAAAATGTTAGTACTTTTTTATCTGATTATCTTTATGTGTGGGAGAGAAAATAAGACACTCAGTTTTGGAAGTTCCTTACATTTTCCTCACAGGTAATTTCTTACACAAATATACATGACCTTTTCTGCTTAATAGTCTTTGACCACATGAATGGAGGTTAAAAAAAGGAGGGATAATTAACTGCAAAAACATTCAAATATTAATGGGAGTCATTACAGTTAATCTCCATGCATACATTAATAGTCTGGATAGATCTGTTTGCCTTTTTTTTACTTCCTTCATAGGTATCTCATCAGTGTCTTTCACTCCCATCATTTTTCCTTTCTTCTTGCAGTTTCTGAGAATGAAAATTAATCAGTCTTTATCCAGCAGTAGAGGTCCCTCCCTCTATTTTTGTCTTGACCCATGTCTTTCATTTGTACCATAGACAATATAAAAAAATTTTCAAAAGTTCTCATCACAAGAAAGAAAAATGTGTAACTATGAGTGGTGATGGATGTCAACTAAACTTATTCTGTCATTTTGCAATATATACATATATCAAATCATTGTGTTGCATACTGTTGTACACTGAAAACTAATACAATATATCAATTATGCCTCAATTTTAAAAAAGAGAGAAAGAAAACGTAGAGTAAGCCACAGATCGGATCCTCCCTCCTATTATTACTGGTTCAGCCACCTCGGTCCCTGGTTCAGGTGAGAAGTCCTGTGAGGACCAACTCACGGCCAGCTCCAGGCCACTCCTATCCCCTCTGGCTTATTCTGATTCTTGAGAAATTGGGAGATCCTGGAACTCCCAAAAGCGGGAGTAAAAGATTGGTGTGTCCAAGCATCTGCTACTGTTCTTATGAATTAATGAGTTAAAGTCATTTCTGTAATGGTGTCTCAGTCAAATAAATCATTGATTCACATGTGCACTGATTCCACCTAATCCAAGCCCTTTGCTTCACAAATTGAAGCTCTGTGCAGCAAGTTGACTGTTTCCCGGAGAAAGACAAGAGATCTTGATAATGTCAAGCATATATGGGTAAGACTTGAACTCAGACAATCCTGGGTTCAATCGTGATTCCTCTAATTGTGACATGAATCTGTGATGTGGGAAGGTCCCTGAAATTCCCTGAACAGATAGAATTCTCTCATTTTTCTAATGGGAAGTACTGTTAAAAAGTGTACAGAGGTACTGCAGGAATGAGAAATGAATAGATGGAAAGCATCAAGCACAGCACTCAGCACATAGGGCCCTGCATTGATTTCCATCATTTTTGGTTTTAGCTGTGGACAAGTCTTGATGCCTAGAAGGAAATTTGAAGGTGAGACTGAGTGAAAGAGGAAGCAGGGGAAAAGGAGAGAGGACACTCCAAGAACAATGTCCCAGCGGTGAGAAAGGAGGGATGTGCTCAAATCCCACTGGGAGCCCTCTTAGTATAATGAAGTAGAGGAGGAAATAACCCAAATAAACATCAGGATGAGAATAGATAACAAAACTTAAGGCATAGCTATGTTATGCCACATTATTCTAATGCTATTTTATACTATTTTAAGACTATTTCATCATCCTTAATTTTTTAAATATTCATCATAATTTCTTTAAATATTCAAAACTAAAACACTTATATTAGTTCTAGGGGTATAAAATTAAAGTAAAAAATTATTAAAGGGGAAAGGCAACAAATACAATGACAGCTACAGCAAGGTGAAATTTATGTAAATTTAAAATGATTAACTGTTGTTTATTTTTTATTTACTTTTGCTCAGGAAGATTCACCCTGAGCTAACATCTGTGCCAATCTTCCTCTATTTTGTATGCAGGTCACCACCACAGCATGGCTTGACAAGTGGTGTATTTCCGCACCCAGGATCTGAACCTGCGAACCTGGGCTGCTGAAGCAGAGCACGCCAAACTTAACCACGAGGCCATGGGGCCAGGCCCCAACTATCATTTTTGGTTTGTTTCTTTGTTTGGTTCTGGTAAGGAAGATTCATCGTGAGCTAGCATCCATTGCCAATCCTCCTCTTTTTTTTTTGCTTGAGGAAGATTCGCCCTGAGCTAATATTTGTGCCAATATTTCCCTACTTTGTATGTAGGATGCCTCCACAGCATGCCTGATGAGTAGTATGTCCACACTTGGGATCCAAACCCACAAACTGAGGCCACTGAAGTGGAGCATGAATAAATTTAACCACTTGGCCATGAGGCAGGCCTCTACTGTTTATTTTTATGTTTTAAAAGGTTATATTTTAAGCATCCCATAAAGTACAAAGAATGACAATAAATGGGGCTTAAACTCACCAGCCAGCATGATCAAATTCAAATATTGTGCCAAATTTACTTCACTTTTTCTTTTTCATAAAACAATGCAGATCTCCTTAAAGCCCCAGTGTGTTCTTGCATAATCAATACTGATCTTCCCTCACCAGGTGTTACCATGATACTGAACTTCACGTGGATCAGTCCTCTGGAGTGTTTTATATGAGTAATGATCTATCTATAAACATTCTGTTTATGTGATGTTACAGATTACATGTTCATATTTATTATACATGGTATAATACATATTTAATTTGGCAACTTTGTTTTTGGTTTCACACCATGTGTCTGAAATTTATCAAGATTAATACAAGCAGGTCAGGTTCATGAATCTTAACATAGTCTCACATCAATGGTCATTTGGGTTTGATATGATTTTCTTCTACAATAGAGAAGTATCTATAGAGATACATTCACATGCAATAATAGCGGTACACTAAGCATGGCAAATAATCATCAAATTCCAGAGTGGTAAAGCTCTGGGAAGGGAAGGAGAGAAATAGTAGTAAAGAGGACTTCATATGTATGTATAATACTTTATTTTAAAAGTCTGAAACTAATATGGCAAAGAGTCAGCATTAATCCAGAAGGCGGTTGTATGGCTGTTTTTCTGCTCACGGTGCTGTTCTGATGGTTTAAAATATTTCACGATGATTTGTTTTGGAGTTTTCAAAGAAACACTGGATAGCCAGACTAATGGGTCTCAGCCTCCTCTCCCAGAGTCCTCACAGAAAAGAAATAAGGGTGAGATTTGATTTGTCCTCGAAGGATGACATCTGTAACCAGGAATGGGAAAATTGAGAAGCCAAACTCACCTCACTCCAGCCCCACTCACTGCCAAAAAAATGAGAGAAATGAGAGAACTGTAGAATACCTGTTCAATTTCTGAAGGGGCTAATTCACGCTCAGGTGGGGAAAGAGTCCTTGGAATTAACAAGATAGAGTAGAAGCCAGAAATAATGAAAGCTGATTGCAAATTGGATGAAAGAGGGAAAGCAAATAGATCAAGAAGAGGGTCAAAAATTAGTTTGGAATCTCACTTATAACAATCCCACTGAACATTCTCTTACCTCTTTGTTGTCCTCTGGATAGGTTGGTTAAAAAAAAAAAAACAAACATCTGTTCAATTTCTCACAGAATTTATTGGGGGACCTCTGATTACCTTGGAGCCATCAGAGTAATTTACCTCTCCTCTGAATATTGAAGGATATAAATAGGAAATCTGTCCCCCAAAATGACAGATGGACCAAGCAAGGCAACTGGATTCCTCGCAAGAGGGATCATCTCAGGAAGGAGACTCAGGTGAGTGGCTTCCTGATCTGAGCAGGGCTGTTGAGTGGAGTGGTCATAGGTAGACTATTTGAAGTCTCTTTGGCTCTGGAGGCTCAATTTCCCAAGCTCCTCATTAGCCAAATTTGTACTGTCATTTCTTCCCCAAGTCAGTTCAAATCCTTAAGGAGCATAGCTCATAGAAAAGGAGAACTCCTGGATGGCTGACTCCTGACCTTGAGAAGACAGGTATATGTCATTCTCTTCCCATGTTTCCTCTCACTTCCAGGCAGGGAACCTCATCTTTGGATTTTTAGGTCTGACCTTAAGGGAACTGGTGGACTTCTCCTTAGACCAAGTGTCAGATTTCTGAGTCAGAAATTATCACTAGAAGACTAGAGAACCTGAGTGGTATAATCCCCCACAGGACCAGAGACTCAGGGATGCAGAGAATGTATCATGAGTCCATCTCCACAAAGTCACTGCAAGAAATATTTATCTTTTCTTAATTAAAGTCCCTTCATGAATGAGGTTAGGCCTATTGTAGGAAAGAGGGAGCACAGAAACCAATTTACTAGTTACCTAGGCAGGTTTTTGGAGGTTGCCTCAAAAAAAAGACATTCGAAACAACAATCTTAAGCAGATCACCAAAAAACTACAAACTGTAAAGGAAGCAATTGATAAATTGTTGGCATTAATATTGGGAAACTCTGAAGGATATACAAGAACTCTCTGTACTATTATTTCAAACGTTTGCAAGTGTAAAAGTAGTTCAATAAAAAGTTAAAAATTTTAAACACAAAAGTTAAACACAAAAGTACTACATACTCATCAAAATGGCCAAAATGAAAAAAAACAATGTGAAATATTGGCAAGATAGTAGGAATGTAAATTAGTGCCACTTTGGAAAATTAGTTGATTTAGTATTGAACATATGTGACCATATGTATTCCTTATGCCCCAGAAATTGTACTCCTAAATATTTACTCAACAAAAACAAAGTTGAGCAAAAACGCCAGGCACAAATGTTACATATGATTAGGTAAAAGAATGCATATAACTCTGCAAATATACTAAAATCATTGAATTTTCCACTTCAAATTAGTGACCTTTCTGGTATGTAAATTATCTCTCAATAAAACTGTTAAAAATGCATGATTCCATACAGTACCTACATTCTGGTAGTAGGAATCAGGGTGATTAGTGATTGAAAGGGACCATTAAAGGATGATTCTTGGGTGGTGATAATATTTGTTTTCCTGACCAATGTGTGTAGCAAATATAGATGTGTTCTACCTTGTAAAACTTCATGGAGTTGTACACTAGTTTTAGATATCTTAAATGCAAACAAGAGAGTGTGCTGTAAAAAGTACAGAATTTCAAGGAGGACTTAACCATCCACAATCCTGGTGGGAAGATTCATTACGGACCTTGTGTTAGGAAATGATAGATTAAGAGACATGAAATGTATAAGTACATAAATCATTTCTAAGCACAACTTAAGGACTAGACTAGGAGTTCACTGGAAGCTATTCTACATGGATGTCATTAGGAGTTTTATCCAGCATGAGTTTTCTCATGATGCCTAAGGGATACGAGTTTACTGAAAGCTTGCCCACAGACATTACATTTATAGGGTTTTTCTCCAGTGTGTACTCTCTTGTGCACAGTAAGATTACTCCTTACACTGAAGGTTTTCCCACATTGATCGCACTCATAGGGTTTCTCTCCAGTGTGAGTTCGTATGTGTATTGTAAGGGATACACGCCTCCTAAAGGCTTTTCCACACTCACTACACTTAAAGGGTTTCTTTTCTCTGGTATGACATTTCATATGTCTCCTGTGACATAAGAGACCACTGAAGACTTTCCCACATTCCTTACATTCATATTCTTTCATTCTCATGTGAATTTTCTTGTGCAAAATCAGGAAAGATTTTATCCTGAAGGCTTTTCCACATTGATTACACAAAAAGGGTTTTTCTCCAGTATGAATTCTCACATGTTCTTTAAGGCATGAGCGATCCCTGAAGGCTTTCCCACAGTCATTGCACTTACAGGGTTTCTCTCCAGTATGGATTTTCTTGTGCACAATAAGATTAGAGCTCATTCTAAAAGTTTTTCCACATTGATCACACATGTAAGGTTTCTCTCCGGTATGTATCCTCAGGTGTGTCTTTAGGGATGACTGACTACTTAGTTCTTTTCCACAGTGACTACATTTAAAGGATTTCTCTCCAGTGTGGATTCTCTCATGTCTTCTAAGGTATGGGAGAATACTGAAGGTTTTCCCACAATCATCACATGTATAGGGTTTCTTTCCAGTATGTATTGCCTTGTGCACAGTCAGCGCAGAGCTCCTACTGTAGGTTTTGCTGCACTGATTACATTTGTAGGGTTTTTCTTTTGAATGAATTCCTTGATGTTGTCTGAGAAGTGAGCTATCCCTGAAAGTTTTTCCACAGTCACGGCATTCATAGGGCTTCTCCCCAGTATGAATTCTTTTGTGCCGTGTAAGGTAAGAGGTTGAGCTGTAGGTTTTCTCACATTGATTACATTTAAAACATTTTTCTCTAGTGTGGGTTCTCATGTGCAACTTCATGGATGAGTGGTTCTGTAATACTTTACCACATTGACTACATTGAAAGGATTTCTCCCTGTGAGTTTTTTTATGCTTCTTAAGGTCTAAGGTTGAAGTTAAGACTTCCCCACAGACACTGTAGTCACAGGATTTCTCTCTTGTATGTTGTCTCTTGCGCACAGCTACATAAGAGCTCTTGATGAAGGTATTTTCATCTTTCTTATATTCACAGGATTTTTCCCCATGAAGAATTTTGTCATGTGGCTTAAGATGTGAACAATCTGTGAGGGCTTTCCCAGAGTCAAGGCATTGATGGGGTTTCTCTCCAGGATGAATTCTCTGACTCTGAGTAATACTGGATTTCAAGCTCAAGGCTTCAACAATTTCACACCATTCAATGGATTTGCCTCCATGAGTTTGCTCCTTTTGATAAAAAATATTGAGTTATGATCATGAGTTATCATATTCATTATATTGATGGAGAATTTCCCTTCCCATAAATTCTGACATGTCTAACACTTTATTAGCATTAGAGTTTACTTAACATTTTCATAGTGAATGTGCAAAGTTTCTGAGTGAGTTTATCAGCTTGAATAAGCTGAATGCTATACCAAATAGCTCCATCGAAGTCTCTTCAACAGAGTTTTAACATACAATTGTCTTAGAGTGAACTATATTTTAAGCATTTAATATCTAATCTCCATTATGAAAATATTTACTTTGAGGATTCTCTGTAACCATTTTGTGTGCTAGGTTACAAGTTTCCTTCAAATTAATGATATTTAGAGAATCTCCCGCTTTCTGTTGGTCAAACAAACGTGGTATCACTTGCCTCAAATTACCCTAATAGTTCATGTGCTCCTTTTCTATCATATGGAATTCTGGACTTCTAATATGGAGGACAAGAAATTATCCCATGTGAACCTTACCTCCCTCTTGACACTGAATGTTTCTTCCTCCAAAATATCTTGTTTATGTTGTGATTGTTTAGTTTGAAGGAGAATCATCCCATCTGAACAGATTGGGGAAAATAAGTTTTGGAAAAGACATGATGACAATATGTTGACAAAAGCAGTTAGAGCCCAAACCCAATCTGAAACAAATGGGAAACCTAACCAGGTGGCTAGAGTAGGAAATGGTAGGATGATGGTGACAAAGAAAGTGAGACTCAGGTGGATTTCTCTTCAAATATTTATGCTAAACTTGGGAAAACAATGTGAGAGAACCACGAATTCATGATCAAAGGAAGAATACTTACATGGTTTAGTATTTTGCGTAATACTAAAGAATGGTTCTTTCATGATTGAAAATTACATTGACAGGCAAAGGCTATTATATTTGTAAAATGGCAAGAATTAGACAATGATTCCAAATTTAAATATCATACAGAAAGATCTATCTTCCCCTCAGAGCATAGGAAAGTATGAAATGATAGGTAAAAAGTGAAAGAGTAGGGAAAGCTGACACTACACGAGGAAGCTCACACCAAATGGTCTCTGCTTTCTCCTTCAATTTAAAGAGTATTTTTTAAAGTTTTCTGTTTAACATTTCATAATGTACCTCCTCCTCACCCCAACCAGATCTGGTAGGCAAAACATTCATATATGGCTGGCACTCACCTGAACAGGTGTCTTGGTGAATTCTTCTCTCTACTGTCTCCATTTCACCCTTTTGCTCCATCTGGGTGATCAGGGTGGGTTTTCTCAGTTGATGTCCTACAATGGGGAGCAATAAATGTGAGAGAACCATTTGGTGTACACAACAACTGCCACAAACTATAGCAACACCTTGGTCTTTGAGGTTCTGAAGATAGGCAAGAGTGACTTTAGGAGCAGCAAAATGACAACAAATTGCTAATCGACAAAACAAAAGTAAAGCCTGTGGGAGTGTGAAAGATGACATGAGTGGAGTCATATTAAAATAGAGGCAGAACAGCCATTTCGGAGGAATTGCCTTGCATGTCTTGTTTTCCACATCTCCCAAACTGGACCAAACCACCAACATTCTAAGAAGTCAGTAAGGACAAGAGCACTCTGTCCTTAAAAATTGATGAAATTTGACTTTGCAGATGACTGAATCTCAAACCAACCAATGAAGTATAAATCTAGCCTTTTGCGTGAAGACAGAATCTCAAGCCAATCTATGAAACACAAATGTAGCCTTACTCATCTGGCACCAATGAACTCTTCTTTAATACAGCCTATCTCATCCTCTTCCCTTTTTCCTATAAAAACCCTGAGCCCCTCTCTCCTGTTATCGAGACACCATTTGGGTTTCTACCTGAATTGGTGCTCCCTGCATTGCAATTCTTTGACCCAAGGAAATGTTTTGCCTCTTAAACTGGTTTCTGTTTTTGTAGGTTGACTTTGTTTTGAAGCAGATGAACTTCCAGAATGACAGAATGAGGACACTGGTTAACCCATCCTCCCACTAAAACAACAAATGATGGGTAAAACAACCAGAATCAATCATTCCTGAACTCTGGAGATAAACCAAAGCCATAGAACAAATGGAAAATTGTCTATCCAAGAGAAATTACTGAGACTTCATAAGAGATCAGGATCTGTGACACTTTAACTTGAGATTATTCCCATCACTCTTTCCTCACCAGCTCTGTGGCATGGTAACTAAAAACTAGCAGCCTTGGAGTCAACAGAGAGGTCTTATCTCTTTTGCAGATCTTTTAAAAAAAAGTCTCCAGAGCATGTTCAATATTTTATTGCTAAACTTGCAGCTCCCTAGAAAATCTCTCTTCTCATGATGTTGCAGCTATTTGATTTGACTCAGATAAGTTCCTACCCCAAGGCACTACCAAAAAATAGCAATCTGCTAGAAACATAGCTAAATGCTTATGGGTATGATTTCACTCAGGGCAAACAAGAGATTGGCTGGGAATTTGAATGAAAAACAAGAAGATCTAGACAATGATAGCAATCTTTGAAAATCTCCAACAAATTCCCAAGGATCTAAAAGTCTGTGTGCATGAACAAGGCTGTGCACATGCCCAGGAAAGATTTATGAAGGGCTAAGTCCTAAGGCACTCAGCTTCGGCTGACTTGTAGACTCTGTCCAAGCCGGAAGTGAAAGCTAAACCTTATAAGTTGCCTGAAGCTTAAAGGCAGGAATTCTCACATAGATCTCCTTGGCAAGGGGTGGGAGAGATATAGGCAAGGCATTTAAGAAAACTCTTTACCAATCATTGGTGGACTAGCAAATTATAATGATCAGGTAGTGACTCCTAGGAAGCAGGCTTAAAAATAAAAACAAGGACTTAAGAAAAAAAAAGCTAGCAGAAAACTGTGGCTGAATGCTGCAGGAAATACAGAATTTGCAGCATTTATCTAGGGAAGTCACTAAACAAATAAACACCAACAAGAAAACAAAAATTGGCAACAATAAACCTTTATGGCAGAGGGATCAAATACCAAAGTTGTCAAAATACATTATCTAAAATGTCCTGTTTTCAACAAAAAAAATAGGACACATGCAAAGACACAGGACAGTATACCATATATACAGGGGAAGAAAGGCAACCATCAGAAAATGTTCCTAAAGTGACCCAGATTTTGGATTTAGTAGACAAAGATTTAAAATCATCTATTAGGGGCTGGCCTGGTGGCATAGTGGTTAAGTTTGTGTGCTCTGCTTTGGCAACCCAGGTTCTCAGGTTTGGATCCTGGGCTCAGACCTACACACTGCTCATCAGTCCATGCTGTGGTGGCATCCCACATACAAAATAGAGGAAGATGGGCACACAGATTAGCTCAGGAACAATCTTCCACAAGTGAAAAGTAAAATAAAATAAAACGAGGGGCTGGCCCCGTGGCCGAGTGGTTAAGTTCGTGCGCTCCGCTGCAGGTGGCCCAGTGTTTCGTTAGTTCGAATCCTGGGCGCGGACATGGCACTGCTCATCAGACCACGCTGAGGCAGCGTCCCACATGCCACAACTAGAAGAACCCACAACGAAGAATACACAACTATGTACCGGGGGGGCTTTGGGGAGAAAAAGGAAAAAATAAAATCTTTAAAAAAATAAAATAAAATAAAATAAAATGATCTATTATAATGGACAAAGACTGAAAACTTTTCCCCAAACATTAGGAACAAAAAAAGAATGTCCACTCTGGTCATCTCTATTCAAAATTATACTGGAAATTCTAGCCAGGCAATTAGGCAAGGAAAAAGAAATAAAAGCCATCTATTTTGGAACGAAGAAAAATTATCTCTATTCACAGAAATCTGAAGGCATCCACAAAAAACTATTAGAACTAATAACCAAGTTCAACAAAGTTGCAATGTACAAGATTGCACACAAAATATCAATGGTATTTCCATACACTAGCAATGAGCATACTGAAAATGAAGTTAAGAAAACAATTCAATTGACAATAGCATAGGAAAAAACCTCAGGAATAAATTTAACAGAAGAAGTGTAAGAGTTGGATGTTAAAAATTATAAAACAGGGGCCAGCTTGGTGGCACAGTGGTTAAGTGCGCAGGTTCTGCTTCAGCTGCCTGGGGTTCACTAGTTGGGATCCCGGGTGCGCACATGGCACCGCTTGGCAGGCCATGCTGTGATAGGTGTCTCACATATAAAGTGGAGGAACATGGGCATGGATGTTAGCTCAGGGCAAGTCTACCTCAGCAAAAAGAGGAGGATTGGCAACAGTTAGCTCAGGGCCAATCTTCCTCAAAATATATATATATATAAAACAGTGTTGACAGAATTTAAAGACCTCAATAAATGGAAAGACAGCCTTTGTTCATGGATTGGAAAACAATATTATTAAGATGGCACTATTACCCAAATTCATCTACAGATTCCATGTGACCTTAAACAACGTCTCACCTGGATTCTTTGCAGAAACTGACAAGCTAACCCTAAAATTCACATGAAAATGCAAAAGATCCAGAATAGTCAAAACAAATTGAAAAAGAAAAACAAAGTTGGAGAGCTCACACTTCCCAATTTCAAAACTTACTACACAAAGCTACAGCAATTAACAGCAAGTAACAGCATGCCTAAGGATAGACATATAAGCCATTGGAATAGAATTGAGCATCCAGAAAAAAATACGTAATTTGACTTTATGAAAATTACAAACTTTTATGATATAAGTTACCATCAAGAAAGTGAAAAAGCAGCACAGAATGAGAGAAAATATTTGCAAATCATATATCCAACAAAAGATTTGTATGCCAAATATATAAAGAACATTTACAACAAAGTAGGAAAAAAAGGCAATCCGATTTTTAAGTGGGCAAAGGATTTAAATGGACATTTCTCCAAAGAAGATATACAAATGGCCAATAAACACATGAAAAGTTGCTCAACATCATTAATCATTAGGGAAATGCAAATAAAACCACAATGAAGTACCATTTCACAGCCACTAGAATAGCTATAATTAAAAAGACAGGCAGGGGCCAGCCAGGTGGCATGGTGGTTAACTTCCCGTGCTCCACTTTGGTGGCCCAGGGTTCACCGGTTCAAATCCTGGGTGTGGACCTATGCACTGCTTATCAAGCCATGCTGTGGCAGGCATCCCACATATAAAAAAAAAAATAGAGGAAGATGGGCACAGATGTTAGCTCAGGGCCTATCATCCTCAGCAAAAAGAGGAGGATTGGCAGTGGATTTTAGCTCATCCACTTGAGGAGCTTTCTTCCTCAAAAAGAGATAATCTTCCCCCCCCCCCCCCAAAAAAAAGACAGGCAATAAGTGTTGGTAAGAATGTGGAGAATTTGGAATTTCATGCATTGCTGGTGGGAACGTAAAATGATACAGTTGGTTTGGAAAACAGTTTGGCAGTTCCTCAAAATATTAAGCATAGAATTACCAAACAACTCAGTAATTCCACACCTAGGCATATACCTAAGGTAATGAAAACACATGTCCACACAAAAACTTGTACGTTAATGTTTGCAGCAGCAATATTCATAATAGCAAACGTGTTAAAAACCCAACTGTCCTTCAACTGATGAATGGATAAACAAAATGTGGTACCAACTTAAGAGAATATGATTCAGCAATAAATAGGAATTAAATACTGATGTGTGCTACAACATGGATGAACCTTGAAAGCATTATGCTAAGCGGAAGGAGCCAATCACAAAAGACCACGTTATATGATTCCATTAAAAGAAGTGTTCAGAGCAGGCAAATCTATAGAAACGGAAAGTAGGGGCCAGCCCCTGTGGCCAAGTGGTTAAGTTTGTGCTCTGCTTCCACGGCACAGGGTTTTGCTGGTTCGAATCCTGGGCGCGGACACGGCACCGCTCGTCAGGCCATGCTGAGGTGGTGTCCTGCATGCCACAACTAGAAGGACCCACAACTAAAAATACACAACTATGTATGGGGGGGGGAAGAAAAAGGAAAAATAAAATACTTAAAAAAAAAGAAAATTGAGGAAAGGCAATGAAAATGTTCTGGAATTAGATAGTGGTGTTGCTTGCACAACTCTGTGAATATACTAAAAAAATTGTTTTGTATAATTTAAATGGGTAAATTATGATATGTGAATTATATCTCAATACAGCTATATTTTTTAAAGTAAAAATCTACAAAAAAACCTAGTCTGTACCACTAGGTGACTGGGGCTTACTCATCCCAGAAACCCACACACATGCTCAGTAAATACAGGAAGGGATTGTGTCAGCCTTACCCAGGGAAGCCAAGTTTTTGTAGTTCTCCAGCATCACATCTTTGTACAGTTTTCTCTGAGATGGATTCAGCAATGCCCACTCCTCCTGGGTAAAGTCCATGGCCACATCCTCAAAGGTTATTAGGTTCTAAAATACCAACACATTCTGTCTCAACCAGCAACCAAACCCATCAATGCTGCCGGGAAGAGGGTCGTGGGTGGTAGCACTAGGGATGAAAGACCTGTTTCATAGTAATTTCAAGATTCTGAGGACTCTGTTCATTTAACTCAGGAACCATTTCTCAGAATCTTCCCTTCTCTATTCCTGCTCGCTCTTTAAATGATCTCATCCAGTCTCAAGAATTTAAAGCATCTCTAACATATGATGAAATGTCTCTCTCCACTTCTAGCCTGAGGCCTTTTACCGTTTTACTTTCTTCTATCTCCAGGATCCAACACAGGCCTGAACACATTGCAAGCATGAGAGAAATACTTGCTAAGTGAATAAATTATTTCCCACAGAGTGATCATCCATTTTTTGAGGCTCCGACAATCTTATATCTTTCTTTTACTTTCCCTAACAGCACTAAGTAGGAAGGATGCCTAAAAAAATTGTAAATAGTAGGGTGGTGGAAGAATTCTGTTGGAAGTCCCTGAACCACCATTGGAAGTCTCAAGATGCAGGTTGGGTGGTGTTAGAAGGAGACGCATTCACCACAGGGGACAGGAATGTATTTTAGAAGAAAGAAAAAAGATCTTGACTCACTTGTAACCCAGAGTGGAAGTTTTCCACCTCTGTAATCCTCTCATGGGCACAGCCAGGGTCCTTAATAGGCAGAGCTAAGAGGAGAGGGTGACATAAGAGTCTAGGCAGATCCAATACTGTAACATTCACAAGCCTAAAAAAATTGCCCAACATCAATTCAGTCACACATACACACACACAATGAATATTAGCCAGAGCAACCTGCCCCATCCAGAGCCATAAAATAGGTTGCCTTGATACCCATGGTGAATGGACATATAGTCACAATTTTCTTAGCAATGACATTGAAATTCAGAAAGGTGGACTTACTATCTTTCCCAACTTCAGGAAACAAATCGATTGGATAATGACATGCCATTCATAAATTTTCTTTCCCCTCTCTGCCATGCACATTTGTGCTTCCTCCAAAATTGCAAAAGGCTTTGAGTCAGACATGAGCAAATTCTGGGGCTCCAAGGGTCCATGGAGCTACACACTCACCTCCTCTCATTTCAGCCCTTCTTTCCCATCCTTCTCTGTGGCTATTCAGCTCCCTTCCTTTGTGCCCACTTTAAGGTGGAGAGATCACCTAATCATAGTGAAGTGTATCCACCTTAGGAACTCACCAAACATACCGGACAGAAGTGTGGCTGCCATTTTGCAAGTCTGTGAGTAATATGCCCAGACAGCAACTAGGAGGACCAGGATGCTCCTTTTCTTGCTACTATGGTCCACACCAAGCAGGGCTCTGAAATACATATTAACAAGAGAGTTCACAGGCTTTCCATCTCTCCTTTGCGTTGAGGACAATTCCATCGTAGTGCATCCAGTACGTATCCCTTTCAGATTCAAGCTGTCTTTCATCCTGGGGCTTTGGTTTGCGTGCCATGTACAATCTCAAAGAAATATGGTAGACGTTCTTTACCTTCCCCATTCCTAATGTATATCCTCCACATATCAAACCACATAACCCACCACTTATCAAAAATCCCACCTCCACTGAGGCACTTCACTGGCTTCTTATCTGAATTGACACCACCACCGACTTATTGACACCAACACTGACAACCTGACTTATTAAAGTCATTGGCACCCGACTGTCATGCTTCATTTTGACTCCCAGGCCTGCCTCGATTCAAGATGATTCTATGTGCTTGGTCATAAACTAGCAAATATCACATGGCTTCCTCATTTCAGGCACATACTTTGAACTTAGCATCACCCGAGGTTCTTCCCCTCTCCAAGGTAAAAAGACCAACATCCCACTCTGAACACAACTGCTATATTTCCACCCTATTCACTTTTTAACCTGTACTATATCTGCTCTCTTACCTCATAGAGGCCTCTATTCTGTCCATTCTTCCACTATATTGCTATTTATAATCCACATTTCCTTGGCACTACATAGAAAATGCCATGGCCCATCATTTCAATATGTTTTTCAAAACCTTAAATTCCTCTCTCTCTCTGTCCTATTATAACACCTGCCCTGGATAATTCCAACCATCTGCCTATCCTGCCTGGGTAATTCCTACCCAACCAGTTATATGTGAACCACTACAAATTTAAGCCCATCTACTCTAAATGAGCTCTCAACACTAAAAGGAAAGCAAAGTTCACCAGGCAATTTAATCTCGTTATCCAAAGACATTTTCAGAATTTCTCCAGGATTTTGAATCTCGTATGGTCTCAACATTCCCTTTTCAGTAACGAATGATCTTCCATCTTCCTTCACAGAGAAATGATTAACAATGATGAGAAGGATTTCTTAGCTCTTGCCACTAATTCAAAAGTCATCCCACAACATCATGGTTTCTTTTTTCTTTCACTTTGCAAACAAGAAGTCTGCATTCTTATCTAAAGCCGATATGTCCTACTTTGCTCTGCCAATGTTTTCTATCTTTGGCACTACTGATATTTGGAGCTGGATACTTCTTTGTTATGGGGGCACCATCCTGTGCAGCATCTTTGTAATCTACCCACTAGATGTCAGTAGTATCTCCTCTAGGTGTAAAATAAAAAACATCTCCAAGTATTGCCAGATGTCCCCTGGGGGCAAAGTTGCCCCTGTTAGGAACCACTAGTCTAATCCTTTCCTATCTTCTCAAAAAGCTTGCTTTTATTAGCTCTTTATTAGTTCTTCCTTTCCATCACCATCAGCTTCTACCCCACTATACTTATCCCTTTAACATCAAAACATAATCGAATACCTCCCATTTTGAAACAAATTCATGCCTTGGGCCCCACTTAGCTCTCCAGCTACTGCTCAATCTCTGTGCCTCTTTATCTTCAGCTTCTTCAAAGAGTAATCTACCCTCACACTCTCCCCATTTCCTCACCTCTCAATATATTCCAACCTGGTTTTCATCCCACCACCACTTCACTGACAGTACTCTGCCAAAATTGCCAAGGATTTAAGAGAATTAATCCAGTGAATGCATTTCTGTCTTTGACTTAGTTGGTCTCTCAGGAAAATTTTATCCTTAGTGTCTTCTAGAAATGATTCTCTTCCCTGGGCTTTTGAGACCACCATCTCCGGGTTGTCATATTACTTCTCTAGCCACTCTCTTTCAGGCTCCTTGGAAAGCTCCTCTCCCACTGTTGACTGTCCCCCAGGCTCAGTCCTGGCCCCTATTTCTTGCCTTATTTTGTGCATTCTATATTTATCCTTTCGCTTGAACTTAATTCCCGTCTCTATGCTTGTAACACCCAAATCTCCAGTTTGGGATCTCAAGTTTAAGCGTAAGATCCATATATCATGGTGTCTTTTCAAAGACAGCCATCTAAAATTTTCATAGGCACCTCTGATGAAACTTAGGGAACTTATCATCTCCTCCCAAAAAACTGTTTTATTTCAAACATTTGCACTCTCAGTAAGGAGTATTAGTGCTGTAGGTATTCAAGGCAGGCAGAAGGGATCATTGGTATCACACCCCTCCCTTCACTGCCACCCCACAGCTATAATTAATCGAAAGTGATGATTGTTTGACAAGGCTTTCTCCCCTCCTGTGGACTGCAATCTATTAAAACCTAATAGAATCCTTGACTCTCTCCAGCAGCCCACAGCAGCAATTGAAATTTTAATATAGGCACATTCTCTCCCCCATTCCCAAAAGGCAGCGGCAATCACTTGAAACGAACACTATTCCTCGCTAGGCTCCTCTACTCTACCCCACATCACAAATCTATTGAAACTCAGAGTAACCCGAACCACGCCCTTCTCTCAACATCCAAATCCAATCAATTATTCAACTGCTTTCTCCAGAGAAAATCTCCCCAACTACTGAACTCTCCCCCCTCCCCTGCCACATGGATAAATCTTCCTCTTTGTTATTTTTCTGCCCATTTAAATGTCATTTCCTCAGAATCACCTTTATTGTGAGCCCCATATCCAATATAAAGCCAGCCGCCTCTTATTTTATTAAGAGCTCTCTCTATTCTTCCTATGTAGACCTCGTCACTATTTGTAACTATATACTTAGTTCTCCGCTTAATCATGTTCTTTCTCTTCCTCTAGATTGCAACGTCCAAAAGTACAACAGCGTGGTCTTTTTTTATTAAAACCCTATACCCAGTCACTAGCACATTGCTAGCCACATGGTAAGTGTCCAATACTCTGGGTGAAGACATTAACAAGTCACCAAAGCATCAATTCCACCTTCCATCTGTCCCCCAAATCATCATTTTGTACTACTTTGCAACCATCCAGAATCTAGATTCCCATCGCTCATTCCTGAACCTTACTACTAATCCTTAATCTTTTCTCCATTCAGCCCAGCTCCCTCCTCAAGGTGCAGCTTGCTCTGCTAAACACAAATCTAATCACGTTACACCCCTGCACCCAAAGGCTTCCCACCTGCCTTGGAATTGAGTCCTTAACTTGCTTTCAAGGTTCCGAGTCAATTGGTCAGGGCTCTTGCAATTTAGTTCACCTTGATTTCAGCCATGTCCTGTCTCGCTCGGTTCCAGGAACACTCCAGGCACTTATTTGCTTCAGGGACTTTGCATGTGCAAAGCCCTCCTGCTAAAATGCGCTCCACCCACTCCTCCTTCCTGGCCCCATCACAGCCCAGCCCACTGCCCGGCTGTATCCTAATCATTTCTAAGGTTGACGCTTTAATAGCTTTTCTTTCCAAGAGGCTTTCTGAACCCTTAGACGGAGCCCTTTCCGACATGCTGTCATTTAAAATAACTCACAATCAGCTATTATTTACAACTAGGCTTAATAGCTGAACTGTAAACTCCAGGGGACCTGACCTTTATAAATTTTGTTTGCTGTTATACCCATGGGACTGAGCAAATTGTAACAAGCTCAGTGTAGGCATGTCATAAATATTTGTGGACTACTGACAGGCAACAAAATCTCACCCCAACAATTTGTTGGTGTGAACACACCAAATTATAAGGCATATATATATACTAAAACATATTATAATAAAAGATAAAAGCAATGAAGTTTATTAGTGAGTTTTTAAAATAAGATAAATCCTATTTAAGTAAACAAGGCATCAACGTCTGCAAGAGAATACCTTTTCGTAACCAAATTCACTGCATTTTAAACCAAACTGGATACGGAATTTGCCTTCATTATGTTTTATCTGGTTTGGGGGGAAGTAAATATTTACTTCATTAATACAACATGAGATCAAAATTCGTTCCACATAGAGTCAATCCAACTCTAATTTCAGAACATACCTTGATAACGTTTGCATTACTCTTTTTTAGAATGTCTTGACTTTCAAGCATTGGGGGCTGTAATATTAGCTGAGCTCTCTCGAAAAGAACAAAGCTGACCTTGATAGTGGAATGCATGATTAAAAGATAGTAAACGGCCCATCCTCATACTTTGTGAACAAAATCTACCCAACATAAATACTTGAAAAATTTCATTTCACAAGATATGCCAACCTCAAAGCACACCCTGATGCCCATAGTCAAGAGCAAACATTTTGCAGGTTAAAAATTCTCTTTCATGGGGCTGGCCCAGTGGCGTAGTGGTTAAGTTCACGTGCCCCACTTCAGTGGCTCGGGGTTCTCAGGTTTGGATCCTGGGAACAGACCTACACACTGCACATCAAACCATACTGTGGCAGCATCCCACATACAAAAAATAGAGGAAAATTGGCACAGATGTTAGCTCATGGCCAATCTTCCTCACACACACACACAAAATCTTACAAAGTGAAGGGCAGCTGGGAACCCCTGCCACAAGTTCTAGTCATTACTCACGAAAACACACAGAAATCCACAGGTCAGCGAGGTAAAAGTTTGGGCCAGGCTGATATTCACACACTTCTGAGTAACAGCATGCTTTCTGCCTGGAGAAACGCACAATCACTGATTTTTATCTACTGATACAATTGAAAGGACTAAAGGATTAAAAGACACACCCTGTTCTTCTTGATTAGATTTACAGTCAACTTTGTGTAGGATTTTTTTTTATTGCGGTAACATTGGTTTATAACATATAAATTTCAGGTATACATCATTCCATTTCCATTGCTGTGTGGATTACATCATGTTCACCACCCAAAGACTAATTACGATTCAAGTGTAGGATTATTGATAAACCAAATACACCCTGTTTACCCTAATCCCACTTTCTTGATATTTCCTAAATATCCAGAAAGATACAAGTATTTGGAAATTTCAGTAGAGTGGTTCCACTGCCTAGGAAAGTCTAAATTGTTGCATCTTTTTACAGGGCAATTATCATTCACTGAATAAATATTTCTTGAGTGCCTACTGTATACCAGGCACTATTCTAAATGCCAGGAATGTAAAAGAAACACTATGTACAGAAAAGTCAAATAAGGAAGAAAGCTCAAGCAAACAGCAAATGCCAGAAGAAAAGTAAATGGAAATGGGATAATGAATGATGGATGGTAGTTGAACACAGGCACTCTTTGAGGAGTTAATGTTCCAGCTGAGACCTTGACAAGGCTGATCAAACTTTGTGCTTGACATAACTTAGGCTGGATTGACTAGGACAGCTAGCCCCTGAATTTTATGCAAACTTCTAGCACTGTAACTTGTTTGCTCCACATCAGGCCCAGATCCCCGCCACTCCCTCATGTGCCTATCAACAAAGGAACATGTCCTGCCTCACCTTTCCTATTATTGCAATGTTTAATGCAGTTTGTTGAGTTTCAAGACACACCCCACCCCCACCATCCTCTACCCTCTGCCCCCTCTACCCAACCCCCCCCACCATCTCCTACTTCCGACCACTGCCACCATCCCCCACCCACACCCACACAGGAGTTTTTAGCATGCCCCTTCCTCTCTCTGCAGCCACCAGCTGCTGCATATTGAAGCTTTGTTCCTCAACTTCCCTAAGACGTTTCTGGCTAACACTTTGCACAACTTCCTGTTGCAGTAGTCCCCCTTAATAAAGTCTTTCCTTACTAACTTTCAAAGTGGCTTTTTTAAAAAAATTTTACAACCTGAATTACAAGAGCCAAGTATGGGAAGACGTGGGAGAAGAAGCTTCAGGAGAAAAATGTCAGAAATGCTGTACAAAGCCCTTAAGGCATGAATGAGCTTGGGGAGTTTGAAGAATAGAGAATCCCTCTAGGCGGTGAGCTGAAATCCACTCTGCAGAGCCTATCATGCAACTTCTTCCCAGCTCTGCCTTCAGCTACTGTCCACTGGTAGCTTGAAATTGACTGTGGTAAGAGAATCTACACCATAGAAATCAGCCAATGCTACAAATCAGACCTTTTACTAGCTTCCCACCAAACCATTGCTTCTAATCCTTGGTTCCTTCATCTCTATTATGGGTATAATAATGGCACCTAACTCATAGGTTGAAACAATTTCTTGGCTCATACCAGGAATATTTAGTCAGCTCCTGTTTGGGTTTAGCAGTATGTTAAGCCATAGTGAGCAAAAACTGACAAATCCTTGTTCTCTTAGACTTGTAGTTTACAGGGCAAAGTGGGCTTTCATCAAATAATTGCCAAAGTCCTGGATCTCAGTGCAGTTGTAGGTGAGTACCATCAATAAATGAAGGAGACCTCCAAACCAAGAACCCTACCCTGGGGTGAGCATCAGAGGAGGTTACCACAGCAGGTGTTCTTGAAGCAAAAATCTAGAAGCTGTAGAGAGACTATCATTAGTGTTCCCAAAATGGGATGCAGAGAGCATTTTAAAGACTACATATTTTTATATGTATGAGGAAATATATCACCAGCAAGAAACAACTTTGCTCAGGATTGGGCTGAGGGCTGAGTTAAATATGCGAGCTGATTAAGAGTTGTTTTCAAGTCCATGAGTATTGGTAACAATCATGAAGACAATCAGGAATGACTGATATTTGAGAAACCGCCTCCTAGAAAAATGAGTGGTGCTTGGTGAAGGGTGACTGTCACCGCTGTTGGATCTTGATCCTGGACTGAGAGCTTCAACTCTGGAACAGAACAGAGGCAGGAGAGAGGAAAAGGCATACGCTTATCCTCACTCAGACAATTAGCAAACCAGTACTTTACTACCTTCTGCTGCAGATTGGAATGAAGAGAACAATTTGACTAATGAAGAGCTTTGGAGATAAGGCCCCCAGGGCCAGAAAAAAATGTAAATATGTCAGCCTGTCCCCTATCAACATCTCACCCCTGCCAGACCAGAAAGAAGACACTTTGTTCCTTTTTAGAGAATGGGTCTTGTCCAGAAACTCCGCACTGGACTGTCTCCTTGAAATTCAAAAGGGTCAGTTTGTCTTCAAAATCCACATCCTAGGGAGAAACTCAGTTCTTGTGATCTTTTGTGGAGCCATCTGGAGATATAATCTCTCGTGAGTTGAGTTCAGGAGGAAAAGGGGCAATTTATTAATATTATTATTATTAAGCCCACCTGGTGGTAGTCCTAGATTAATTAAGTAGGACGTCTAAACCAATGGTTCTCAAAATGTTGTCCCCAGACCAGCAGCCAGGCCTGGGTTCATAGGTGTGCAACCTGGACTGTGGCAGAGGTTGCCACTCTTGGTTTCATGCTCAGCTGTCACTGTCTTAAAATTTTTGAACAAGGGGTCCCACATTTTCATTTTGCACTGGGACCCAAAAATTAGGCAGCCAACCCTGCCAGCAGTAGCATTACTTGGGAAGTTATTTGAAATGCACTTTCTGAGGCTGCCCTGGTGGCACAGTGGTTAAGTGTGCACGTTCCACTTCGGCGGCCTGAGCTTCACAGTTCAGATCCCCGGTGTGGACATGGCACCGCTTGGTAAGCCATGCTATAGTAGGCGTCCCACATATAAAGTAGAGGAAGATGGGTACGGATGTTAGCTCGGGGCCAGTCTTCCTCACCAAAAAAAAAGAGGAGGAATGGCAGCAGATGTTAGCTGAGGGCTAATCTTCCTCAAAAAAACAAAAAGAAAGAAAGAAATGCACTTTCTCAGGGCTCATCTAGACACGCCGAATCAGAGACTCTGGAGTGGCATCCAGCAAAGAAACACAGGTGGTCTCAGGTGACTCTGATGCATAGTCAAGATTACAAATGGCTGTCTAAAGACACCCCCGAGTTTTCATTAACTGTTTGGCATATTTCCAAGTCTCCTGGCACTAGATTTGCAATTGCTCCTGGCTCTGCTGACCCCTTTCTTTCACCCTAAAATTGCAGGGACCTAGTCCCTACTCAAAGGACTCAATACGTTCTAAAATTTTCTAAGGATTCCAGGCTATTCTGATGCACCAGGAATGGTAGGAGGGGACCTGTGCTGCTGAATCCTTACAGTGCTGGTTTTAGATCTCATCCTTTAATGGAGACACTGAGATTCAAGGGAAGGAGGTCAGGCTCCCCAGTCAACTCTCTCCTTGATGTGATGAAGGGTCCCAGCAGAATTTTCAAAATGGTCCTCCTTCCTCACAACTCACAGGTATTGTCCCATGAATGTTCCCTTTCTCTTCTCCCTCCTCCTCCTCCTTTATCTTCCTGCCATTCTTTCCTACCCCCATCAACATGCACCTCTCTAAGGAAGGAATCATGTCAATACCTCTTCTCAAGTCCTAGTAAAGTAACAATATGGACAATGAATGCAAACTCTGCATTGTACTATTTTTTTTCCCTTTTCAAGTATTTTCCTGGGATGTTGGTACTCTGTTTTCATTCCCATTACACAGAGGAGAAGCAAAAGCTCAAGCAGTTCAAAGATTTCCCTCCTTGGCTATCCACAGGGTTTGAATCCAGCTGTGGCTGATTCTGTACCATGCTATAGAAATTTCTATAGCAGTGGTTCTCAAAGTGTGCTCCCCTCACCAGTACAGTATTAGCACTGCCTGGGTACTTATTAGAAGTGCAAATTTTGGGGCCTGACCTCAGACCTAGTCAGTCAGAAACTTTTGGGCAGGACCTGAGTTTTAACAAACCTTTTGGGTGATTTCTGACGCACACTAAAGTTTGAGAGCCCTAGTGCTACAGTAATTGCTGTCTTCCTCGAGACTAACCAACCCATCAGTCTCTGTCTCTGTTTTGTCCCCTGGTTTGTGGGGCATGGAGGCTGGGTGTTGAAAGCTCTGTAATTCTCATTATCTTTTTAACTCCTGACCCTGGAGGTTTATTGTGGATGGTTCCTACCCCTTCATTCCTAAGAACAATTGATAAACACTTAAACACTTAGAGACCCACCTAATCAATCCATTCTGGTCTCTTTGCAAGGGTCCAAGGATCAGCCTTCCAGGATCCCAAAGTAGACTGAGGGGACAAGTTGGTAAGTATCTAAGACTTGCACATGCAGTGGATTCTTCCAGGAGACAACATTCACCCTGAGTCATTTCTGAGCTGGACTTGGATGTAATCCTACCAAGAACAAGAAGAGGTAAGGTCTGAGTCTCCATGAATGGTATTAAATTGTCCCTGATCTTCAGGATTCCCTGGCTGAGGGAAAAAGATGAGACAGAAGTGAGTTCCCTAAGAACATCCGTAAAATATGAGAAATGAGGGGTGACTGATTTCTCAAAGCACCATGAAGGACAGGAGCATGAGTAAAACAAATGTCTTCAACATTTTTTAGTAATTAATTAATTTTTCAATCATAGTAAAATATACATAACAAGATTTACCATTTTAACCATTTTTAAGTGTATAGTTCAGTGGCATTAACTACATTTCCATTGTTGTGTGACCATCACCATTGTCCATCTCCAGGACTCCGTTTTTTTTTTAAGTTTTTTTTCCCCCTTTTTCTCCCCAAAACCCCCTGGTACATAGTTGTATATTCTTAGTTGTGGGTCCTTCTAGTTGTGGCATGTGGGATGCCACCTCAGTGTGGCTCAATGAGTGGTGCCATGCCTGCGCCCAGGATTGAACAGACGAAACACTGTGCCGCCTGCAGTGGAGCACACGAACTTAACCACTCGGCCATGGGGATGGCCCCTCCAGGACTCTTTTGATCTTGCAAAACTGAAACTCTCACCCCATTAAACGTTAACTCTCCATTCCACCTCTCCCAGCCCCTGTAACCACTCTTCTGCTTTCTCTTCTATGAAGTTGACTTCTCTAGGGACTTCATATAAATAGATCATATAGTATTTCTCTTTTTGTGACCAGCTTATTTCTCTTCGCATGATGTCTTCAAGGTTCACCCATGTTGTGGCATGTGTCAGAATTTCCTTCCTTTTACGGTTGAGTAATATGTAATATTTCATTGTATGTATAGTCCACCTTTTGCTTATCCATTCATCTATCAAGGGACACTTGATTGTTTTCACCTTTTGGCTATTGTGACTAATGCTGCTATGAACATGAGTGTACAGACATCTCTTTGAGATCCTGCTTTCAATTCTTTTAGGTATACACCCAGAAGTAGAATTGCTGGATCATTTGGTAATTCTATTTTTAATTTTTTGAGAAATTTTTCAACATTTAACACAGAAAAATTGTAAAGTCTCTTTCTTGCATCTTTAAATTTTCCAAATGGGGGCCGGCCCGGTGGCACAGTGGTTAACTGCCCATGTTCCGCTTCTCGGTGGCCTGGGGTTCGCTGGTTCGGATCCCGGGTGCGGAATGGCACCACACTGTGGCAGGCGTCCCATATATAAAGTAGAGGAAGATGGGCATGGATGTTAGCTCAGGACAGTCTTCCTCAGCAGAAAGAGGAAGATTGGCAGCAGTTAGCTCAAGGCTAATCTTTCTCAAAAAAAAAAAATTTTCCAAATGTATACCCTCCATTCATGTTTCTAGAATAGTAACTGTTGAAACAGAAAACAGCCTGTGTATCAGAAAATTGAGGGGAAAGGAACATCCTAGACCAAGATCAATATTTTCTTTTCCATGTAGAGTACTACAACACTATATCGTTATTAATAAAAATAATAACAGCAGTAATTTTAACCAATATTTCTAGAGTATTCACTATGTCTCTAGCACTGAGACCTTTTCTTGTTTAATGCACGTAGGGTCTTATTCATTTGAAGGACACAAATGTCCTTTGAATTTTGCTCAACTTCTTTTCTCTCTCTTATGAATAGACTAATGCCCTTCTTCCCTTGCCTCATAAGCCATCACGAGTTCTGATCCTGTCAAGTGGCCTGAATGTTAGCTCTGGCTGCTTCAACAGTTCTCTCCCTCACTCCAGCTAGTGTGAGGACAGAGGAAAAGATACTCATTCATCTCCTTTGCTCTCTCAAGACACCATGCATTCCATCCTCCTTCCACTTCTGTTATGAATGTGTCCTTCCAAAACTCACATCCTGAGATAAATAGTTTAGTTTTGATTAGAGCAGGAAGTGACACAGTTTCTTCAATAATGCACTTACACACCAGCTCTTAGAATTATTCAGTCTTGAAGATTTCTTGCATCAACAATGATGTGGAGTGTTGGTTCATCACCCAATATGTAATTATTACAGGCGCCAGCTGATGGAGGAACTTCAATGCCAGAGTGAGGACTTGGGGGTTTAATGGGTAGAATGCCATTGAAATGTTCCACGCGGATGTGCCGGACCTTCACTGGCAACTTTGGGAAGATTGCTCTTCAAGGATGCACAGGGTTAAATGTACTCAAGAGTGCTTGGAGGGTGGAGAATAATTACAAAACCATTGCCATTTGGACATATCCTAGAAGGTGGCTACCAAGGAAAAATTAGTCAAAGGAAATATGCTATAAAATGGATCTTTCTGAGTTTCTACATATGGTCCACATATCTGGCTCTATGCTTCCCAGCAGCAAAAGAAATGAAAGAAACGTGATCATAAGAGAAAATAAAACAGTTGTTCAGAAAAAAGCTTTAGCTACTCTTGTTTTAAGAACCAGAGAGGAATTTCCCCTTTGGGTGTGACATTTCTACAATAGACACAAAAAGGAGATTCATTCAACCATTTCTTATGATGTCCTTCACTGTAGGCTGATGACGAATGACAAATCTCAGTTGCTCAAAAACAATTCTAGTGGCTGAAGAAATTCCTCCAAAATAGATGGGCCCAAGAGAGTGGTTCGATGTAATTGTGAAATAGGGAATATTTAAAGAAACGGTTGAATGTTGTTATTTTTCACATTAAGGCAGTAGAGAATATGAGATAATTTCCAGTGATACCTGAGATTTACAATTATGAGCAGATTCAGATAGTATAAAGTTAACTACAGAGTTAAGCTTCTCTGAGAAAATGAAGTCATCTAACCAGGCTTGATGCTTTATGAAGAAACTATTAGAATTTAATCCTAGATTTAAAAATGGCATGCAGGCATAATAGCTCTTAAAAAAAAAAATTGTGTTCATTTTTTAATTTCAGCATTAGAAAAATGTATGTTACATAGAAGTCACCCAAAAATTACTTGGGGAAGGAAGGAATGAGAAGAGGAACCTGAATAGAAGACATTTAAATATTACAGAACTGAAGGCATAGATGAAAGATTTCTGTCAAACAAGTGATGTCTGTGTGTCTGTTTTATTGTCACTCACGTCTCTACTTTCCAGCAGACTCATCAACAACATGGAATCAGGAAACCAGACAAGTGTGCCAGAATTCCTCCTCCTTGGTCTCTTAGAAGATCCAGAACTACAGCCCCTTCTCTTTGGGCTGTTCCTGACCATGTACTTGGTCACTGTGCTTGGAAACCTGCTTATCATCCTAGCTGTCAGCTCTGTCTCTCACCTCCACACACCCATGTATTTCTTCCTCTCCCAACTCTCCTTGGTTGACATCTCTTTCACTTCCACTATAGTCCCCAAGATGCTGGTGAACATACAGACAGAGAACAAAGCCATCACCTACACAGGCTGCCTCACTCAGGTATATTTTTTTATGGTTTTTATATGCATGGACAATTTACTTCTGACCGTGATGGCTTATGACCGCTATGTGGCCATCTGCCACCCTCTGTATTACACAGTCATCATGAACCTCCCCCTCTGTGGCCTCCTGATTCTTCTCTCTTTGTTCATTAGCATTATGAATGCCTTGCTCCACACTCTGATGGTGTTCCATCTGTCCTTCTGCACAGACTTGAAAATTCCCCACTTCTTCTGCGAACTCTCTGAGATCCTCAAACTCGCCTGTTCTGATACTCTTATCAATAACATCCTGGTGTATTTAGTGACTAGCTTGTTGGGTGTTGGTCCCCTCTCAGGGATAATTTTCTCTTATACTCGAATTGTCTCCTCCATCCTGAGAATCCCATCAACTGATGGAAAATATAAAGCCTTTTCCACCTGTGGGTCTCACCTGTCTGTTGTTTCCTTGTTCTATGGGACTTGTGTTGGTGTCTACCTTAGTTCTGCAGCTAATTTCCCCTCCAGGAGGAGGGCAGTGGCCTCAGTGATGTACACTGTGTTCACTTCCATGATGAACCCCTTCATCTACAGCCTGAGGAACAGGGACATTAAGGGGGCCTTGAGGAAACTCATCTCTGGAACATTTTCCTTTTCATGGTTCTGTCATCTGCCTTGGGTATGGGCTTCTAGAATGACTCAAAGGGAATAAAATACTGAGTATGACAGAAATCCTGACTCTTCCATCATTCAATTCTCCTAGCAAAGTGGTTAATCACTTTTAAGTCAAATAAATTTGTATTAAATCCTTCTGTCCTGTGTTTTACTACCTATCATTTATCAATTAACTCTCTGAGTTTAGTTTGGCATCTGTAAGATGGGCAGAGTGACATTACACACTTAACAGCAATATTGGGAACACATCTCACATATTGGGATATAGAAGAAAATTTAATAAATTATATATGTGCAGAAATTTGTGTTATTAAGCGCTAGTAAAATTAAATGAATAATTATCGGGCATTAAGAAAAGTCAGTTATATCACAATAAAGCTGGGCGAAAAATATTAATTATTGAGAGTGCAACCCATGTGTTAGTAAACTTGCAGTGAACACTCATTGGCTTCCACATTAATATATTGAAAAACCAATCTTCATTTTGCCCTCTCCCCTTCGATTCATCTTCATTTTCCTCTTTATTTTGTCCTCATTTCTGCTAGATTCTATACAGAGAAATATATTTGAAGAAAGTCAATCAAGATTTCTTATTTAATCCATGAGTTATATACAACCACATTTCTTAATGTCCAAATATATGGAGGATATTTGTTCATGATTTTGTTACCGGTTTCTAGTATCGTTGCATTGTGGCCAGAGAACACAATCTGCAAAATTTTAATTCTTTGAAATTTATTAAGACTTGCCTTATACAACACTTGTGTTCAAACTTAGTACATGGTCTGTTTGTGCTGAAAGATAAATGTGTGTTTCACAATAATTGAGCGCATTTTCTAAATGTGCCTAATAGGTCAAGTTTGTTAGTCATGTTCAAATCTTATTTTGACTGATATTTCTTTTTTACCTTCTTGTTTTATCAATCATGGAGTGATATATGTTAAAATTACCCAGTGTGATTTTGAATTTCTCTGTTTCTGCTTGTAGTTCAAGTGATGGGCTTTTGAGCACACATTCAGAATTTTTATACCTTCCTGATGCATTTAATCTTTTATCTTTATGAAACTGTCTTCGTTTTCACTGAGTGTGATTTTCCATTAAAGTCTACTTTGTCTGATAGTATGCACTGTAGTTACAAAAGCTCTTTCTGGGCCTCCCAGGTGATGGGAAACCTGGCTGCAATCCATACCATGATTGGTTTGCTTCCAGGTCTCCTCTATTCTTAAAAGACTTTCCTTTGGGGTGCTAGCTCAAAGAAGGGAGTCCCTGACTCTCACTCTTCACTCCTGAGCCTGCAGACACTTGAAGCTCACATTGGTCCCTCAGCTGCCTCTTCTAGTCTACCTCAGCGGAAAATAAAACCAGCCCTCATATTTGGCTCATGTCTCTGGAGCCCTATCCTCTTCTGGTCTCTGATAAATAAACAAAAAGCAATAGGAAATATTGGAGTATAGGAGGAAGCCATTTGGTTTAAAACTAATTTGGTCTGATCTTGTTTATTTCCCAAAGGACCTGATGTGGCCTGTTGAACATGTATTGTGCACTTCCTTTAAACATTTACTATGTCCCAAAGACAAGAATGATTCCCTTTAAGACGGGGATGTAGCTTCACCCCATATTGGCATTTTCTTAAGGATAAGTATCTCTTCTTGGTAACTAAGGATTAATTACTGACCTGCTGTGCTTACCTTGTGACCACTGACCTGCTGACCATCAACCTGCTATGCCAGCTAAGCATCTCATGACAGTAGTAAAAGAGATATTCCTGTCATACGTGATACATGCTCTTTGTTCCAAGACAGTATATAACCACTCTATACACCCTACTTCTTTGGTGCTCTTCCTTCAGGCAATAGTCCTCAAACCTTGCTCGTAATAAACTCTCCCAAGATTTTTTTTTTAAAGATTGGCACCTGAGCTAACATCTGTAGCCAATCTACTTCTTTTTTCTTTTTCCTCTTCTTCTTCTTCCCAAAGCCCCCCAGTACCTAGTTGTATACTCTAGTTGTAGGTTCTTCTGGTTGTGCTATGTGGGACACCACCTCAGCATGGCTTGATGAGCATTGCCATGTCTGTGCCGAACTGGCAAAACCCTGGGCCACCAAAGTGGAGCACGTGAACTTAAACACTTGGCCATGGGGCTGTCCCCTCCCCAGTTTTGATTTACAGATTGATTTTGGATTATTTGCATCAATATCTCCATGCAGTGATTTCTTTTTTTTCTTGTCTTTCCCAGGTTTTTTTCCCCAGGTTTATTGATATCTAATTGACATATAACACTGTGTAAGTTTAAGGTGTACAATTTGTTGATCTGATACATTTATATATTGCAAAATGACCATCACCAGAGTGTCGGCTAACACCTCCATCACGTTACATAATCACCATTTCTTTTTTTGTGGTAAGAACATTTAAGATCTACTCTCTTAGCAACTTTTAAGTAAATAATACAGTATTATTAACCACAGTCACCATACTGTACATTAGATCCCCAGAACTTATTTATATTCTAACTGGAAGTTTGTACCCTCTGACCAACATCTCAATTTCCCCCACACCCCAACCCCTAAAAACCACTATTCTACCCTCTCTTTCTATGGGTTCAGCCTTGTTAGATTCCAATGCAGTGATTTCTTACTAGTATTTAGATCTTCGGTCCTTTAAGATATATACACACATATATATTTTTTTCTGCTGAGGAAGATTATCCCTGAGCTAACATCCATGCTAATCTTTCTCCACTTTATATGTGGGTCACTGCCACAGCATGGCTGATGAGTGGTGTAGGTCTGTGCCCAGGATCCAAACCCTCAAACATAGGCCACCAGAGCACAGTGTGCAAACTTAACCACTACACCATGGGGCTGGCCCCCCAAAGATATATTTTTTTAATGAACACTACACACAGACTTTTAGTTGTCTTCAGCTGGAGGCTTGGTCCAAATTTCCCAACCTACAATTACCAGCAGCAGAAGTCCTGAATACAAATCATTAAATGAAGGCTATCTTAGTTTTGAAGCTAAATTTTTGTGCCAACTAAGGCGACTTCATGGAGGGAACAGTCTTTTCAAGCATAAGTACCTATCTTCTGAGGTGTGTTCTCCGTGTTTTCTGAGAGCGTGGTGGGGAGAATGCTTGTATGAATCCAGGGCTGCTTTTTTGTCTCTGTGGTATAATAAAAAATATTTGGTCTTTGTCCCCAGTTCCTGGCACAGAATGCCAAAACTCTTGGAATCTCCTGAGTAATAAGAGTGTCTTTGGTATGCTAATGAGATAACTCTTGACTGAGTGGATAGCCTCAGGGATGGTTCCAGAAAGACCAAACAGTGATTAGAGGGTTGGAAGTTTTAGCCTCAACCTCCGACCTCCCTGGAGAAGTGTTGGAGGTTGAACTAATTACCAATGACCAATGATTTAATCAATCGTGCCTAGGTAATGAAGCCTCCATAAAAACCTAAAAGGATGAGGTTTGGAGTGCTTCCTGCTTGGTGAACAAGAATGTATCAATGTGCCGGGAGGGCGATGCACCCCAAACTCCACGGGGTCAGAAGCTGCTGTGTTCAGGACCCTCTGATCCCACCATATGTATCTCTTCACCTGGCTGTTCATTCATATTTTTTAATATCCTTTGAAATAAAGCAGTAATCTAGTAAGTAACCTGTTTTCCTGAGTTCTGTGAACTACTCTAGCAAATTAATTGACCCTAAGGGAAAGGGTCAAGGGAACCTACTATTTATAGTCAGGTCAGAAGCACAAGTGACTTGCAATGGCATCTGCAGTGGGGAGAGGGGCAGTCTTGTGGAACTGAACCCTTAGCCTGTGGGATCTGAACTTATGTCCAGGTAGATAGTGTCAGAATTGAGCTAAATTGTAGGACAACCCTCTGATGTCCAGAGAGTCTGAGAATTATTTAGTGTGGGGGAAATTCCCTTCCAAACACACATACATTTGGTGGCCAGAAGTATCAGAAATGAAGTATTGAGTGTAGTGAGAGATTAAAGGAGAAACACAGGAGAAAGTGAGTTTTTTCTTTAGACCCACAAAGCCTAAAATAGTTACTATATGATCCATATGGAAAAAGATTGCTCTCTGCTCTTTCCTGGTTCTCAGCTAAAGTCTGAGGGCTTTCCTTCTGAGTTTTTATAATTTTATTGACAAACTTTATATAAAAATCCTAAAAGGCTGAGCTGCTGTGTTTCAAGTAAAAGATAACGAACAGACAAATGAACAATGATAGGTAACTCCAAGGGAAAATCAAGAGACACTTAAAAATCCTTAGATCCTGCTTGTTTTCTGCATCTCAGAAGGAATTCGGGTTTTCAGACATTGTTGCTCAGCATCTAAAGTCCTGGTTCTCAAAGGAGACGTGGGTAGCAATTTTTCCGCCCAACCCTCTGCAGCACCTCCCTCCCCCCTGCCTACCCCCACCCACACCCGTCGGCACTAATCACACTTGCAGCCTAACAACTCTTTGCTGTGGGAGGCTGTCCTGTGCATTGAGATGTTTAGCTGCAGTCCTGGCTTCCACCACTAGATCCCAGTAGCACCCCACCCAAACTGAGTTGTTACTCCCAAAACTATCTCCAAGCATTGCCAAATCATTCCCCATTAAGAATGACTGCTCAAAACATATATATTTTTTAAATGAAGACAAGTAAGGTATCTTAGAGTAAACTAGTCATTTATATGCATGGTTCAAATACTAATATATAAAGGAGAGAGACAATATTGAACTTTACCTGTGCTGCTGGAAAACCCCGACAGTTAATCCCCCCACTTCCCACCCTTTCACATTCTGGAAACCCCTTACTGCAATGAGCCTCAGAGCCTCCCTTCCTCATATGACTTGGATAAGACTCGCTGATGACCCCCCTGATTACCTCTGATAAGGCTAGACACACACTCTACAAATTCCCATTTTTTCCCCCGAAGGTTTCTAACTTTCTATACATGGTCTTAATTGTGTATTTACAGCTTTTCATTTCCCCCTTTGCCCATGTCTCTCTCTAGGGATATCCTAAGAAGCAGAGGACTCTACAAACTTCATAATCACTATTGTCACAGCAATGATGTGGGTGCCACACCACTTAATTTCCCAGTGCTTATACTTGCACTTCTTCCCATGCTATCACCAATGATAACTTGAGTAATTGTGATGCTACTATTTGCCATGCATTATCCACCCCAACTTCCCTCTCTGAGCTCCTCAAATATCTCAGACTCCTATTTTGAGAGTCCCTTTCTTGGGACCAATTCTGGTACCCTTTATTGTATCCATCAAGTCCAAAAAGGGTTCAGATGACACATTCAATTTAGAATAACTTGAGTAGAGTTTAACAAGGCAGTATTTTCAAAAGTATGGCCAGGGTTTAGGGAAATCAGAAAGAGTAGTGTAGGGGCCGGCCCAGTGGTACAGCGGTTAAGTTCCCACGTTTCACTTCAGCGGCCCGGGGTTCGCCAGTTCGGATCTCATGTGTGGACACGGCACCGCATGACAAGCTATGCTGTGGTAGGCATCCTACATATAAAGTAGAGGAGGATGGGCACAGATGTTAGCTCAGGGCCAGTCTTCCTCAGCAAAAAGAGGAGGATTGGTGGCTGATGTTAGCTCAGAGCTAATCTTCCTCAAAAACAAAAAAAACAGTAGAGTAGTACTCTATGGTTATTAAGAGAAGGCTGCATTACAGGGGTAGACACCTTGGTTTGAGGGATGCAGTCAGTCCTCATGACCTGTAGGGTGGGTGACTGGGGGTTAAATATCTGAATCTCATTCTTCTTTCCTCTGATCTCTTGTTAATCCTCCCCCTTGGCCCAACCCAATAGGAAGCTAGAAGGCAATTTATTGGAGAGATGAAGGAGGCTAGGACCAGAGAGGTAACAGTGTAGATGGTGAGAAGTGGGCTGATTCTGGATATATTTTTAAAGTAGACCATCAATATTTGCTAAGGTATGGGGTGTGAGAGAAAGAAAGCAGTCAAGAATGTCTCCAAGGTTTTTTGACTTAAATTGGCAAGAGTTGCCATTTTCTGAGAGGAGGAAACTGAAGCCTAGGGGCTGGGAGTGAGAATGGAGCTGGGTTTTAATTTTTCATTGAACTATAATATATATTCAGAAAAGGAGGGGCCAGCCAGGTGGTGCAGCGGTTAAGTTTGCACGTTCCACTTTGGTGGCCCAGGGTTCACCGGTTCGGATGCCAGGTGCGGACATGGCACCGCTTGGCAAGCCATGCTGTGGTAGGCGTCCCACATATAAAGTAGAGGAAGATGGGCACGGATGTTAGCTCAGGGCCAGTCTTCCTCAGCAAAAAGAGGAGGATTGGCAGCAGATGTTAGCTCAGGGCTAATCTTAGTCCAACCAAAAAAAAAGAAAGAAAAGGATACATATAATTTGATGAGTTTTCACAAACTGGTCACACCCACATTATCAGCATCCATCTAGATCATCCAGGAAGTCTTCTTGCCCGCTGAGTAATGACCATCCCGATATCCAATAGTACTGATTATTTTGCCTGTTTTATATTTTGTGTATCAATGGAATTGTATGCTATGCCCTCACTCCTGTCTAGATTGTAATCAACTCACTAGGTTTGTGATATTCATCCAGAATGTACATATAGAGGCAGTTCATTCATTCTCAGTGTGTGAACATGCTACAATTTACTTATTCATTCCACTGTTAATGAATGGGTGCTTGGATAGTTTCCAAACTTTGGCTACTAATAATATTGCTGCAGTGAATATTTTTGAGGGGTGGAATTTCTGAGTTATAGGATGTGCATATGGGCAGCTGTAGTAGATTCTGCCAGTTTTCCAATGTAACTATACCAAATTACTCTCCCACCAGCATCTGTAAGTTCTGCTTCCTCCATATCCTCACTAACACTTGGTATTTTCAGTATTTCACTAAGCCATTCTGTCCCAGTGGCATCTCATTGTGGTTTAAATGAGGATTTAATTAGCATTTCCCTAATGAAGTAGAGAACATTTTCGTATGTTTCTCGGCCATTTGGATATCCCATTTTGTGATGTGTCCAGAGTTTTTGTGGGGGAGGTATTTTTAAATTGAGTTGTGTGTCTTTGTCTTATTGAGTGATAAAGTTCTTTACATATTCTAAACATGAATTATTTTCTAGATATATATGTGTTTCTTCCAGTTCATGAGTTGCCTTTTCACTATCAGTGATGTCTTTTGACGAGCAGTTCTTAATTTTAATGGATTCCAGTTCATCAAATCTTTCTTCTCTTTTATCTCTAATTTAAGAAATCTCTCCTTACCGAAAGCCATGAAGTCATGTTCTTATCTATAGATTTTGTATTTTGCCTTTCACATTTAAATCTGCAATCATTCTGGAATGATTTTTGTATGTAGTATGAGATAGAGATCAATTTTAAGTTTTTCCATGTGAATATCCAACGGACTCAGCTTTATTGAAAAGACCAGGGGCCTGCCCTGTGGCGCAGCGATCAAGTGTGCACGTTCCGCTTTGGCGGCCTGGGGTTTGCCGCTTCGGATCCCGGGTGCAGACACAGCACAGTGTGGCAAGCCATGCTGTGGTAGGAGTCCCACACATAAAGTAGAGGAAGATGGGTACAATGTTAGCTCAGGGCCAGTCTTCCTCAGGAAAAAGAGGAGAATTGGCAGATGTTAGCTCAGGGCTAATCTTCCTGGGGGGAAAAAAAAAGAAAAGACTACCTTTGTCCCCCTGCAGTCATCCTGTCATACATTAGCTGGCCCCGTGTACGTGGTTCTGCCCTCTTGCATTGGTCAATTTTCTACTCTTGCCCCAATCCCAAAGGAGAGAAGTTTGATTCTACTTACATAAAATTCAACAAACAGGCAGCACTCTTCTAGGATATGTAGAGGAGGAAAACAAATCTTTCCTTCTATCCTTCTAAGTTCTTGACTGGGGCTCTGTAACAAAAGAGATTAACAAGAGAAAAGCATACAAATTTATTTAAGTTTTATGCAGCACTGGAGACTTTATGAGGAAACAAAGACAAAAACTTGTTAAACCTCAGCATTTTTATGCTAGGTTTGAAGAAGAGTGGAAAGTCATGGAAAAGGCGATAAGACAAAAGGATGTGAGCTAAGGATAGATAACTGAGGGAAATTTAGCAATCCTGTTTATTTGGATTCCTTCCGACGTCACTCTATCTTTGGAGATAAGAATACTCCTTTCCACTGGTGTAAGGAGGACACCTATCACTTAAGGGTCTCATGACCTGCTTCAGAGGACGGTTAGAGACTTCTTCCTGAACCTGCCATTCCTCAAATTCCTTCAGCTTAAAATATCCAATATGCCAACATACCATATTTTAAGGTAGTTGTGTTCTGAACCCCGTCAGATGTTACAGTTAAGTCACGACAGGATTTCCTTTGGAGGATGAGAGAATATAGTGACCAGGAGGACCATGAAGGGGGCTTCCGGTTACTGATAATTTTTTTTATAACCTGGATAGTAATTGCATAGATGTGTGCACTTTGTGGACATTTTTATGATTTGCGCATAGGTGTGTTCACTTTAAATATTGATCTGTGGGCTTTCAGTATGGGTGTTTTACTTCAACAAATAACTTTTTAAAAAACAAATAAAAGTCCACTTTCACTCTCTCTTTCCGGTTTCTCTAGGCAGCGTGAAAGACGGGCTAAAAGTCATTTACAAGGGCGGGGGATATCAACTCAGCTATATTTTATCTCCTCACAATAATTATATCTTTATATAGAAACAGGATGTGCATGAGGTTTTTCCAACCTTCTGGGGTATTGTTTACCTTAATAATGCTTCCTACTGTTTGGGGAGCATTGCAGAAATTCCCTATTCTCAATTTTGAAGCGTTGAATCCCCTTCATTTCATCGCGTCAATTAATGCTTCTAGTGAGTTTACCAGGATTCAGCATTGATAAAACAAGCTCCAACCCTGACTTAGCACTGTTTTCTAATTTTAACTACCCAATTTGTTTGTTTGTTTGTTTTTGGTGAGGAAGATTAGCCCTGAGCTAACTTCTGCCAATCCTCCTCTTTTTTTTGCTGAGGAAGACTGGCCCTGAGCTAACATCTGTGCCCATCTTCCTCTACTTTATATGTGGGACACCTACCACAGCATGGCGTTCCAAGTGGTGCCATGTCCGCACCCAGGATCCAAATCAGTGAACCCCAGCCGCTGAAGCGGAACGTGGGCACTTAACTGCTGCGCCACGGGAGGGGCCCCCCAATTTCTATTTTCACGCCCCCAGATCCTGCCTGAATTTTAACTGAATCTTTTTTCTTTCTTCCTCCTTTGTGCTAGCTCCAGATCTTGAAGATTTCCCCCCCCCCCCCCACCCCACCCCTTCCCTCTCTGGAGTTTCTCCAGCCTGGACCTGAGGCACCCCTGAGGCCACAGATCTTTCCATCTTTGCTCACCTCTCTGCAGTAGGTTTGTTCTGCCCGCTTCTTGTTCCTGCTGCGCAGTAATCAGTTACTTGCTTCCCCACTTGAGTCTTGGCAACAGTTTTAGGAGATGGCTTATCTATACAAAAGGAGAAACAGGCTGTAGCAATTTATTGGAGATGGCTACTTTGGTGGAGTCGGGCTTAGAGATCACGTTACAAGGTGGGCGTAGATGTCTCTTGTGCTCCTGCATGCTCACCTCGCCCAGGTAAACGCCCTCACCTTGAAGCTGGGCTTCCTAACTTTCTGGCTCACGTATTGTAAAAGAAGGACCACAAAATGCTAACTTCGACTTTTCTGGGTCCTGCCATGAACTTTCTTGGCTTTGTAACAAGAAAAAAACATTTCTGGCAGAATGATCAGGTTCTGGGTTGCCGGTCAAGGACTGAACATTCCCTGATTCATCGATGGGACAAAAAGTTTGAGGGTGTTACCAAGGTTTACAGTGGACAAGTGGAAAAATGGGATTACTATTATTTGAGGTTGAGAAGGTGGAGTCTGGCGTTTGATTTGTGCCATTTTAAAGAGTTTATAAAACATCCTAGTGAGGAGAGAATATCTCATTCCATCTGGAATTCAGGGTAGAGGTGTGGGGCTGTGGACGGAAATTTGAGTCAAGTGTGTAAATAGAACTTAAACCGGCGAGATTCGCTGCCACCACAGAATGACTTTAAGACGAAAAGAGGCCTGAGAACTAAGTCCTGGGCCATTGGAACAATTAAAAGTTGGGGAAACGCACTCGAACGTCAGATTCCACCTGGGCACCGCCGCCATACCGCTCCAAGCTTTGAGAACTACATTTCCCAGAAGCCTTCGCAATCCCGTTTCCGAGTTAGAGGCAGCCTGTGCAGTCCCGCGAGACTTAGAAGGCGGAAGTGAAGCGGAAGCCATTACTCGGGGGAGGCTATTGCCGCTGTACACATGGGCTGAGGAGAGGTCTGCAGTGGCTTCTTCCGAGCTGTTGGGGACCCTTCGGTTTCCCGCGGCAGAGCGGACTTTCTGTATGAACTTCTCGTTCATTGGGCGGCAGCTTCCGTGACCTCCGCTCCTCCCGGTGCTAACCGCAGTCGTGTAAGCCCCCCTTGCCTCGGTTAACCCTTTCCCCTCCGTCTTCCTGAGGACCGGAGAGGCCCAGAAGGCGGGGACGGGGACCTGGGACCGAGAAGCAAGGCGGCCAGGCGGGGAGTTTTAGACCCTCTGATCAGCGATGTGAAACGCTGATGACGCGAGGATTGAAATTTAGGACCGCTGTGTTTAGCGACGAGGGGGAGGCACTGATGATCTGGTAAAAAAAAAAAAAAAAAAAAAAAACCCTCAGACTCCTTGGGGTGGGGACGGAAAAGCCCGGCTGACGTGAGTTCAGGACATTATAGGGGGTCAGGAATTGGAGACGGCAAAGGTAAACTTCATTTTGCTTTTTGGTCAATTTCGTCACATTAATAGAGGCACTCTGGTTTTCTTTCTGTTCGCAGTTGTGTCGAATGCCTTTTGTATTTAAACTTTTCGATGCACTTATCTTTTTTTATATACCTTAGTTGACTTTCGTGTAAATAGCTTATAACTAGATTTAGAAATTCACTGCAGCGTTGTTATGTAACTTGAGTTAGTCCACTAATGTTTACTGTGATTACTAATATTTTGTAATATTTTGCATTGATTTTTACCATCATATTTGGTGCTTTCTGTTTATCCTTTTCCTTTCAAATATTTTTATTGGGATATAGGACATATTTGCAAAAAAAGGTCAACAGTAAATTGCAAATCCACAAACTAGGCCAAGAAAGAAAAGGTTATGAAACCTTAGAAACCTGTATGCTCCTTTTTTTTTTTTTTTTTTTTGAGGAAGATTAGCCCTGACCTAACTTCTGCCAATCCTCCTCTTTTTGCTGAGGAAGACTGGCCCTGAGCTAACATCCGTGCCCATCTTCCTCTACTTTATATGTGGGACCCCTACCACAGCATGGCTTGCCAAGCAGTGCCATGTCTGCACCTGGGATCCAACTGGAGAACCCGGTTGCTGAAGCAGAACGTGCGAACTTAACCATTGTGCCACCGGGCCGGCCCTTTAAGTATTATGACTTATTTGACATGAGAATTATTTAGGACATTTTCTTTTAATTTACATTCCTGTGACATTTTTCTGGTTATCCTTTGCTGACTTCATTGCACTGTGTTCAGAGATTGACACCATTTCCTGAGACGTATATTGTGCCTGATGTGGTTGGATTTTATAGTTAGGAAACACTGTTTCATCCTGTTCAGTCTTTGTATAGTTACATCCCCATGACATACTCATTTTATAACTGGAAATTTGTATCTTTGCACCATCTTCACCCATTTTGCCCCTCCCACTACCACACACACACCTTAGGCAGCCACCAGTCTGTTCTCTGTGTCTATGAGCTTGTTTGTTTCTTTTTTGGCTCTACACATAAGTGAGAACATACGATATTTATCTTTTTGTCTCTGTGACTTATTTCACTTATTATAATGCCTCAGAGTCCATCCATGTTGTCACAAATGGCAAGATTTCATTCTTTTTTGTGGCTGAATAATATTCCATTGTGTGTATCTATGTACCGCATTTTCTTTATCCATTCATCAGTTGATGGACACCTGGGTTGTTTCCATGTCTTGGCTGATGTAAATAACACCACAGTGAACTTGGAGTGCATATATCTTTTCAAATTAATCTTTTTGTTTTCTTCAGATATATACCCAGAAGTGAAATTGTTGGATCATATGGCAGTTTAATTTTTATTTTTTTTTTTAAAGATTTTATTTTTTTCCTTTTTCTCCCCAAAGCTCCCCGGTACATAGTTGTATATTCTTCGTTGTGAGTCCTAGTTGTGGCATGTGGGACGCTGCCTCAGCGTGGTTTGATGAGCAGTGCCATGTCCGCTCCCAGGATTCGAACCAACGAAACACTGGGCCGCCTGCAGCGGAGCGCGTGAACTTAACCACTCAGCCACGGGGCCAGCCCCTCGGTTTTTAATTTTTTAAGGAACCTCCATATTGTTTTCCATAGTGGCTGCACCGATGTACATTCCCACCAACAGTGCACAAGGATACCGTTTTCTCTACAGCTTGCCAACACTTGTTATTTCTTGTCTTTTTGATAGTTTCTAACATATGTGAGTGGATATCTCATTGTTATTTTGCTTTGCATTTCCCTGATGATTAGTACTGTTGAGCATCTCTTAATGTACCTATTGGCCATCTATATGTCTTCTTTGACACAATGTCTTAGATCCTCTGCCAATTTTTAAATCAGATTGTTTGTTATTTTGCTATTGTGTTGTATGAGTTTGTTATATACTTTGGATATTACCACATATCAGATATATGATTTGCAAATGTTTTCTTCCATTCAGTAGGTTGCCTTTTCATTTCGTTGATGGCTTCCTTTGCTGTGGAGAAGGTTTTAGTTTGTTGTGGTCCCACTTGTTTATTTTTCCTTTTAGTGCCTTGACTTTTAGTGTCAAATCCAAAAAATCATTGCCAAGACTGATGTCAGGGAGCTAACCTGCTATGTTTTCTTCTGGGAGTTTTATGATATCAGGTCTTACGTTCAAGTCTTTAATCCATTTTGAGTTACTTTTTGTGTATAGAGTAAGATAGTGGTTCAGTGTCATTCTTTCGCGTGTGGCTGTCCGGTTTTCCAACACTGTTTATTGAAGAGACTGTCTTTCCCCTGTTGTATATTTGTATTCTTTGTCATACATTAATCAACTGTATATGCCTGGGTTTATTTCTGGGCTCTCAGTTCTGTTCCATTAATCTATGTGTCTGTTTTTATGCCAACCTATTCATTTTTCTAATGATGTTATTTGATGACTAGAGATTTTTAATTTTGGTGGAGTCTAATTTATTTTTTTGTTTGTTTAATTCTATTTGTGTCTAGTCTTTTTTTTTTAAAGATTTTATTTTTTTCCATTTTCTCCCCAAAGCCCCCAGTACATAGTTGTATATTCTTAGTTGTGGGTCCTTCTAGTTGTGGCATGTGGGATGCCACCTCAGCGTGGCTCAATGAGTGGTGCCATGTCCATGCCCAGGATTCGAACTGCCGAAACACTGGGCCGCCTGCAGCGGAGCACGCAAACTTAACCACTCGACCATGGGGCCAGCCCCTGTGTGCAGTCTTAGAATTCTGTTGTGTACTCTAGGTCATGAAAATAGTCACTTTGTATTTTATTTTTTGGTGTCTTATTCATCTCAAAAAGGTTTTTAAATTTCAAATTAATTTTTGTGTATGCCGTGATAATAGAGATCAAAGTGTCTTTTTTTCCATTGAGTTCTTTTGACACCATTTATTAAAAAGACTGCTTTCCCTATTGAATTGCTTTGTTCCCTTATTGAAGATCATTTGACTGTGCATCTGTAGGTCTGTTTCTAACTCTGTTCTGTTCCATTGACTTATTTGTTTATACTTATTCCAATACTTGTTCATTACTATGGTAAAGTTAGTAGATATGAATTCTCTGTTTTTCTTTCTTAACTTTGTTCTGGCTCTTTTAGAGCTTTTGCATTTTGATACAATTTTAGATTTGGTTTTCAATTTCTAGAAAACAGCTTGGTGGGGTTTTGATACAGACTGTGTTGTATCTGCAGATGAATTTGGAGAGTGTCTAGCTTAATATTATCGACCCTTGCAGTTCATGGAAATAATATTCCTCCCCACTTGTTTAGGTCTTTAATTTCTTTCAGCAGTGTTTTACAGTTTTTATTGTCAAGGTCTTATAGTACAGCTTTTGACTTATTTCAAGGTGTTTTATGTATTTTCTGCTATCATAAATGGAGTTATTTTTTTTTGTTTCATTTTCTAGTTCTTTGTTGAGTGTACATTATTTCAGTTGTGGTTACTATGAAATGAAAGTAAGGCTGTTTCCTGAAAGTAAGGTTAATAGTAAGACAGTTGATTCAGAAAAATTTTTACATGGTTTGGGAGGTTGAAAGATTGGATTGCTTAGTGTGCTGTTAGTTAGTGTAGATGCTCGTTTAAGGTTAGTGTCTTTGAGTTTCAGAAGCTTCCAGTGTGACTGACTTGTGTGTAGGCTGGTCCCAAGTACCTTCATGGAGGAGGCAGGTGGTTGGAATCATCTAGATCTGGTCTTTTGCTCATTAGGGGTGATACTAGGCAGAAGGTAAGGGAATTTGGACAAATTGTAGAAGTGATGGATTGTGATGAATCTTAGCTGGATAGGTGTTGTAGTGAGAAGAGATACAAGATGATGGAAGCATGGATGGTCTGGAACTATAAAGTGGGAGAGTTAACGTGTGAAGAATGTTGTGTAGGAAGTTTTGTCCACAGAGCAGATTTCTGAATCATTGTGAAGTGAAGCTGATTCTGATGATGACAAGGCCTGGTCTTTTGGCCTCTGGATACGTGTGTTGGTGTAGAGTGTGGGGTCAAAGAGCATTGGAGACTGGAATATGTGGTCTTAGATGGACCATCCTCATGGATACTAGGATCATTGTCTTCAAGTTGAAAAGCAGAACAGAAGTCTGGGACCAGAATGTTTAATAAGTCGGGGAGTTTAACAGAGTTTTTCTTGGTGACTGACTTGGGAGAGTGAATCTGAATCTTACTTGAGGCAGGTCAGGGATCTCCACCACATTTCCTGGAGGCTTTACCTAAGTAAGATAAAGGCCCAAGATCAGATGGAACTTGCTGCTTAAAAGAGAAGATATTGGAAAACAAAAGTCAGAATTGTCTTGTGAGTAGGAGAGAGAGAAAGCCTTTGACTATGCCTAGTAGTCTTTTCTCATTTATTATAGATGCCTGCTCGAAGACTTCCGTGACGGCAAGAGAGTAGCTTCCTACTGCCAGTGCCCTGTTGTTCAGGCAAATTTACTATCATTCTCACGGGATGGCAGCTCTTGATCTGTCTCCTACATGTGGTAAGTTCTTGGGTTGATGAATGCCCTCAGAAATCAAGCTTATGTGGCCTGCCAGTTCACTGAGGTGTCAAGGGTGTGCGCAGCCAGAGGGAGGACTGCCAGGGGTGTTGGATGAACTGAAAAGCAGTGGATGGGAACTCCTGGGAGCCCCTCAGGTGACTGTATCAGATTCAGGGTTTTTGTGAGTTTGGGTAGGAGAGGGAGTGTGTGTATTTGGTGTGTAAGAAAAGACACAAGTAATGGGTAACCCTGCACTGTCCTATTTATTTAATAAATGTAAGCAGATTAACAGCTTTACTTGTTGGAGCTTTAATTACTTAACTCATAAATTGAAGAAATGTATCATGTTCTTTATGGATGTGTAAGCCCTGCACCCTTTTTCCTGTCCTTAAGTGAAACAGGGATATTCTGGCTTGTTACAAAACATTGTGTGTGTGTGTGTGTGTGTGTGTCTGTGTGTGTGTGTATTGATTTAGGATGTGCACTGCATGCTCGTAGTGTGAGCACGCTGATTTGTGAGTGTCAGGCAGGCTTTAATCTTCATGGATCCTGTCTTCTCTAGCTCTGTCCACCCAAGACCCTGCCTGTCTCCAGGAGTCAGAAATTCCTCTTCCTTCAAAAGATCGTTCCTGTCCCCAGGGTGTGGACCTGTTTGCTTGCAATGGCCTGGAGCCGCATATGCCAACCAGTGTTGGTTCCCAGGTACACCAAGATCTCAGAGCCTCTGAGGGTGGGAGAGGTACTTCCCTAGGATGCCCCCAATATCACATGTTAGAATTGTTTTAGATCTTCATTCAGGCTGATTGATGCCTGATCAGGGCAGACGAGAAAGAGCCAAAGAATGTTACAAGGCTGTCCTGGTTTCATGATTGTTAGGGGAAATGACTTAATGTACCAGATGTTTCTCTTATAATATCACTTAGAGTGCTCAGCCCAGGCCAGAAGTGGAGAGAGTTTTGGTCCCATGTCACAGTTGCATTTGACAAGGAGATGAGGTGCAATCACATCATAGGTTAGAGTCTGAAGACTGACTTCTAGAGTAAATGGTGGGACCCCAGAACTCCATCTGAAAATGCTGTGTTTAAAGTCTCTTATGCTGAGTCCTGAGCCTCAGCCATCTGTGAACACATAAGCTGGTTTCTCACTGACCTCAAATGTGTGTGGTGTTTCAGGAATCAGTGACTTTCCAGGATGTTGCTGTGGACTTTACTGAGAAGGAGTGGCCCTTGCTGGATTCTTCTCAGAGAAAACTGTACAAAGATGTAATGTTGGAGAACTATAGCAACCTCGCCTCAGTGGGTAAGGCTGGCATCATTTATTCATTCATGTCAAATGTTTTTGAGTACTTCCTGTGACCCAGAAACTGGGAATTTGGAACACAATTGTGAACAAGTTGAGCTGGTGCCCACCCTCATGGTATATCCCCATGACCTGTCCATTGCGTTGACCATGGAGGTTAAATGTGTCTGAGCTTGAGCATAGATTTCTGAGTTAAGTCCTCATTCCTCTAAACAGCAAAATGTGTGGGTATTTGTGTTTTTGTGTTTTATGAAAGCCTTTCACTGTGTTCCTTAGAAATTTGGCACCATCATTTTGCTGCTCCTACGTCAGACTTGTCCATCTTCCGAGCACTGAAGACCAAAGCACTGACCCCAGTCTATGGGAAGGGGGTGTCTTCTGCACACTCCTCCCTTAGCATGTGTTTTTCTCCATGAGTAGGGTGTCAGGTGGGCAAACCCAGCCTCATCTCCCACTTGGAGCAAGAAGAGGAGCTGAGGACAGAGGAGAGAGGACTTCACCGAGGCTCTTGTCCCGGTAAGCACCAGGCACATGCGAGTGTTTCTGAATATCTCTGTCTAGTGATTGGGGTGGAGGGAGATCCATTAGGAAATATCACCAGGGAAATTTGAAAATTCGTTCTCTTTCACTGCCCCTTCGTTCTCTCACAAGTCCTTTGGTCTCGATGTCCCTTCATCTTTACCTATAGTTAACGTCAATTACCGCACATAGTTACAAAATTTTGTGTGTGTGTGATGAGAATTTTTAAGGTTTACTCTCAGCAACTTTCAAATACGCAGTACAATGTTATTAACTATAGCCATCAGGCTGTACTTTATATCCCTAGGACTTATTTATTTTATAACTGGAAGTTTCTACCTTTTGACCCCCTTCACCAATTTCACCCACCCTCCACTCTCTCCCACCTCTGACAACCATCAGTCTGTTCTCTGTATCTGTGAGCTTGGTTTTGCTTTGTTTTTTTTAAGATTCCACATATAAGTGAGATCATTCAATACTTGTCTTTCTCTGTCTGACTTATTGCACTTAGCATAATATGCCCTCAAGTTCCATCCGTTTTGTCAGAAATGGCAGGATGTCCTTCTTTTTTACGGCTGAATAATATTCCATTCTTTATATATACCACATTTTCTTTTTCCATTTATCTTTCAAAGGACACTTAGGTTGTTTCCATATCTTGGCTACTGTAAATAATGCTACAAGGAACGTGAGGGTGCAGATATCTTTTTGAGTTACTGTTTTTGTTTTCTTGGGATAAATACCCAGAAGTGGAATTGGTAGGCTTCATTTTTAAATGTCACATGTCCACATGGTCTCTTTCTCCCATTTCTCTGTACTTAACATTCCTGATCATATTCCTTCTGTCATTATCAACGTCAGTCTTTGAAAAATTACTTCTTAGTGAATTGACTTAAATATCCACCCCTGTCATTGCCAAGGGTAAATTTTTTACAGTCAAATTTTTCAGTCATTTTTACTCATGTTTGTGTTCTTTTCTTTCACATCAGCTTTCCTTCTTTAGGGTTAATATTTGCAAAGAAATCCACCTGTCTTTGTCACTGTCATCTCACCATTTTCTTTTTCCAGCAAGTTAGTAGTTTCTCAATTTGTTTCAGATTGGGAGACTCCATCTAAAACCAAATGGACAATTCTTGTGGAAGATATTTTTGGGAAGGAAACAACCAATGGTGTGACAATGGTAAGATTTCCTTGGGTTAATTCTGGATCTTCCGTATTGGGAGAAGACTCAGATAGGCTAAGTTAGAGAAGCAGCTCAAGAACCAGGTGAGCGACGTCTTCAAGAGGAAGTAGTGTCAGAGACTCTTAAGTGTTACTAATTTGGGAGATAGTCCTAAAGCTAGCCCCAAGCTTCCCCACTTAGACTTCCAGTGAGTAAATATTTGTGTAACTATGTCTCAGATATTGAGTGTTGGGGCTCAGTTCACATTTAAATGGTTAACAAAGTGTAGGCATACCTCATTTTATTGCACTTTGCAGATACTGTGTGAAGGGCAAGACCCTCCACCAGCAAAAAGATTACACCTCACTGGAGGTTCAGGTGATGGTTAGCATTTTTAGCAATATAGTATGTTTACATTAAGGTATGTACATTGTTTTATTTAGACATAATGCTATTGCATACTTAATAGACTACAGTATAGTGTAAACATAACTTTTATATGTACTGGGAAACCAAAAAATTCATGTGAGTTGCTTTATTGCAATATTTGCTTTATTGTGGTTGTCTGGAACTGTACCTACAGTATCTCTGGGGTAAATATATGTAAAAAGTTTTGTGAAAGAAGTTATACACGTGGGAGCCTTAGGGGCTAGCATTCACCTGTTCTACTTCATAGAGCCAAAATGGGGCAGGAACAGTACTTTTGCACTGCAAATTATAACACCAAAATTTGTGCTTCAATTTGTGTCAGTTTATTTGGGGATAACATAGGAGTGTAATCAATATGAGAAATGCCTTAGTTAGCACTCATCTCTTAATCAACAGGATAGAACTCATCTTGGAGAGAAATCCACTGGATATGCTCACCTGTTTGAAGTCTTCACCATGAGTGCTCATCTTACTCAGCAGATGGGGAGACACACTGTTAAGAGGCCCTATCACCGCCGGGACTGTGGGGTAGCTCTCAAGAACAGGTCACATCTAACTCAACATGTGAGCATTTACAATGGGAGAAAAATGCATGAATGTCATCAGTGCCAAAAAGCCTTCACCACGAGTGCTTCCCTTACCCGGCACAGGAGAATACACACAGGGGAGAAACCCTATGAATGCAGTGCCTGTGGGAAAGCTTTCAATGATCCCTCAGCCCTTAGGAGTCATGCGAGAACTCACCTCACAGAGAAGCCCTTTGACTGCAGTCAGTGTGGAAACGCATTCCGAACCCTATCTTCTCTGAAGATACACATGAGAGTTCACACTGGGGAGAGACCTTACAAGTGTGATGAGTGTGGGAAGGCGTATGGCAGGAGCTGCCACCTCATTGCACACAAACGAACACATACTGGAGAGAGACCCTATGAATGCGTTGACTGTGGGAAAGCTTTTCAGCATCCCTCACATCTCAAAGAGCATGTCAGGAATCACACTGGAGAGAAACCCTATGAATGCACACAGTGTGGAAAAGCCTTCAGATGGAAGTCTAACTTTAATTTGCACAAGAAGAACCACATGGTAGAGAAAACATACGAATGTAAAGAATGTGGGAAATCCTTTGGTGATCTCTTATCGCGGAGAAAACACATGAGAATTCATATTGTAAAGAAACCTGTTGAATGTAGACAGTGTGGGAAAGCGTTCAGAAACCAGTCTATCCTTAAGACACATATGAATTCTCACACTGGAGAGAAACCGTACGGGTGCGATCTCTGTGGAAAAGCTTTCAGCGCAAGCTCAAACCTAACCGCACACAGGAAAATACACACTCAAGAGAGACGCTATGAATGTGCTGCCTGTGGGAAAGTCTTTGGCGATTATTTATCCCGGAGGAGGCATATGAGTATTCATCTTGTAAAGAAACGCGTTGAATGTAGACAGTGTGGGAAAGCATTCAGAAACCAGTCAACCCTTAAGACACACATGAGAAGTCACACAGGAGAGAAGCCCTATGAGTGTGATCATTGTGGGAAAGCCTTCAGCATAGGCTCAAACCTTAATGTGCACAGGAGGATACACACTGGGGAGAAACCCTATGAATGCCTGGCCTGTGGGAAAGCCTTCAGTGATCATTCGTCCCTGCGGAGTCATGTGAAAACTCACCGGGGAGAGAAGCTGTTTGCATCATCCGTGTGGAAAAGGCTCCAGTGACACATCTTTAAGAGAAGTGCAAGAGCTCAGACTGAGAGGAAACCTCATAGGTGTCAGGAAGGCAAGAGAGCCTTGATGAACTTATCTTATTGGGCACAAAAGAATACATGTAAATTGGGAGAAATCCAGTTTGTGTAATGAGTTGGAAAGATTTGAGTTTTTTTCTCATCACTTTGGAGATTCGTGAGAGCTCATCCTGGGGAAGAAGATGTCTATGTGGTGTGGAGAAGCTGTCATTATGCGTTCAGCTCTTGAAAAACATGAGAACTTGAGAGAAACTCTAGCCTAGTATTTAATGTCGAAATGGCTTTAACACAGTGTCTCATATTCTGGGCACGTGAGTAAGCACAGTAGGGAGAATCTCTAAATTCACTGACTGGGCAAACCTTTTCTGCTCTCACACTGTCTTCCTTGTGAGAGAAATCATACTAAAGAGAAAAATCTATAAAAGTAAGAATGGGGGAAAGTCTGTAACAGGGGCTGGCAAACTATGGCCAGCTGTCTGGTATTTTTTTTACAGCTTGCAAGCTAAGAGTAGTTGTTAAATTTTCAAAGAAGACAACTGTGTGACAGACACCATGTAAGTGGTCCACAAAGCCTAAAATTACTTACTATCTGGTCCTTAACAGAAAAACTTGGCCAAACTTTTGTCTTCAGCAGCATTTCTCACCTGGGGGTGATTTTGGTCCCCAGGGGACGTTTGGCACTGTCTGGAGATGTTTTTGGTTGTTATAACTGGGGCAATGCTACTGGCATATAGTTGGAAGACATCAGGGATGCTGCTAAATATCCTACAATGCACAGGAGCCCACCACAACAAAGAATCATGTGCCCCAAAATGTTAGTCTTGCTGAGGTTGAGAAACCATGGCCTACAGCAATCCCTCAAGTTTTGAAAGGTGTGAGTACTCACACTAGGAGAAATTAAAACTTCAAAAATATAATCTGTGTAATTCTTTCAGGCAACACATGAGAACCCACACCGCAGACGGTCCATATGTAGGACAGTTTCAGCCATTGCCCCCTCAGTTGTGCATGGGAGAACTCACTTCTCAATGGGGTTTTCTAGTAAATATGATGCTCCTCTAAATAACCCTTATGCCTCATCACAAAAGGTTTGTATATAGTATTTTTACCATACCTTCATTCTTGATATATATTCATTTCCTTTTGGATAACTTCCTTGGCAACACACTGTTTAGAATGTGTTTTGTACTGTGTAACGTGGGTATTTTTAGTACCTATTTGTTACGAATATCTAATTCAAATGCATTATGATCAGAGCATGATGTCTTCATCAGATGGATTCTTTGGAATGTTTTTGGCCTCCTGTCCAGCCAAGGGTGGCATGCACTTCTGGTTCCTTCCCCAATATCTCTTCTTCCATATCAAGAAAATCCAAGTTTTGTCAGATTAGTAAGGTGTGCTGCTTTTTAAAACCTTTTACAAGTTTTCTTGCAGCCTGTGCAGTCCATGTCCCACAGCCTGACCATTTGACAAATAAGCAGATGTCATTGTATGGGCTATGAGAAAGCTCTTGAAAAAGGGTTATTCTTACCTGGATTCGTTTGGTTTTTTTCTTTTTTTTTTCTAGATTGGCGCCTGAGCTAACAACTGTTGCCAATCTTCTGGGTTTTTTTTTCTGCTTTTTCTCCCCAAATCCCCCCAGTACATATTTCTATATTTTAGTTGTGGGTCCTTCTAGTTGTGGCATGTGGGACACTGCCTCAACGTGCCCTGACAAGCAGTGTCATGTCCTCACCCAGGATCCAAACCAATAAAACCCAGGGCTGCCGAAGTGGAATGTGCAAACTTAACCACTCGGCCACGGGGCTGGCCCCTGTTTTTTCTTTTTTGCTCTTCCCCCTACATCTCACCTTGCAAGGAGATTCAGCACTTAGTGTTAAAAGATCAGTCTTGTGACGAAGAGGATACAAGCCACAGGCTAAGGAGGATACTGCAGAAAAATCGCAATGATCCTGGCCCCCACAGTGGCATATTGGAGTGTCTGCACTAGCCCTGGATTTATTTCCAGACTTCCTATAACATGAGAAAAAATAAAACTATTGGTTTAAGCTGCTTTGAGTATTTCATTATCTGTTTACTAATTGTTTTATTGGTGGTGGGGTCGTTTTGCTATACCCAGCTGGTTGCTGTCTGTAACCCATGCACTTGTCATTAGTTAGGTCTTATAACTGCTACATGTGTGAGTATCATCTGCTTATAGTTTCAGTTGTTGGATATGGGTTTTTAAATTGTGTAAACCAAGTTTTTAAATTGTATTTCAAATCTCTGATGTACTTAAACGTTTAAACACTTATTTTCTTGGCTTGAATTGAAAGAAGTATATTAGTTTTCACAAAAGCCCTAAGAAGCGGGTACCATCAGTGTCTCCCTTTTACATATGGAGAATTGAAGACTGAGGCAAGTTTAGGTTACTTGTCTGAAATTAACCTATTAACAAGTAGTTGTGCTTGCGTCTGAGTCCATCCTTTTATGTCAGGCCCAGTTCTATGTCCTGAGTCTAGTGGTGAATCAGGATTTTTGCCCTCCTGGTACTTACATTCTACTTGGAGGTGAGGCACCTGATAAACAAATGGGTAAATACTGTATATCAGATGATGGTCAGTGCAATGGGGGAAAATTAACTGAGGTGATGATAGGGAATATGGGGGTTCAGCAGAGCTATTGGATGAATCAGAAAAGCCTTTTGTTTAAGGGGACATTTGAACAGAGATGCAAATGAACTGCAAGTGTGTGCCATATTGTAATCGGGGGAAGAGCAGCCTCAGCAGTCTGAAGGTCATGAAAAAGAATTGTGCTTGGGGCAGCCATGCAGTAGCAAATGGGTTGGTGTGACTCAAGTGGAGCAATCTTGGAAGTTGCAGTTAATGATGAAATCAGAGCTGTAACAGGGTCTTGATCCTGGGAGTGTCTTGTGGGTTAAATGGAAGGACATTGCCTTTCACGTTCAGTGTAGTAGGAAGTCATTGGAGAGTTTTCAACACAGAAGTGACAGTTATTCAATTTCTGTTTTGAAAGTTTCATAGTGGCTTCTGGGTTGATAGGCTAAAGAGGGACAAGGTGCAAACAGAAACTTGCTAACAAGCCATTGCAAATCTCAAGTCAGATTTCTTGGTGCCTAGATTCTTAGCAACAGATGTGGTTTAAGAGTCACATTGATGAAGGGAGCTGTTGTTTCATTTTCACTTCCAGAAAGTTATCCTATGTATTAGCCCACGATTTATTTACCCTTTCTACTGCTGATGTACAGTTGTTCCCATTTTTCCCAGTTAATGAACAATGCTGCTTTAAGAAATTGTATAAATGCCTTCTGGAGCGTTGGTGAGCTGTTCCAGGAGTGTGAAATTGCTGGGTTCTGAGGTCTCTGCATGTTCAACTTACCAGTATAACACGAAAGTTGTTTCTGCAGTGGTTGTGTAATGATGATCTTGTGTGTGTGTAGTAACATTTAAAACAGGTTTTACTGAAATGCAGAAAAGTGCTTAATTCATGTACAGGTAAATTATCACATGAACACATCCATGTACTCAGGCAAGAAAAAGACTATTATTTTAGTCTTTTCTGACTAAAAAAAAAAAAGGCATTTCTGATAATACCCCTTCTTGCCTCATCCAAATGACAAATCCTTCTCTACTCTCCACAGGTAACTGATATTCTGACCCTGACAACGTGCCTTGGGTTTTTTGTTTTTGAATCCTGTACAGATGGAACCATTCAGTATTTGTTCTTTTGTGTCTGTCTTAACTTGCCTGATATTTTTGTGAAGTTTGTCCATATGGTTTTGAGTATCTCTAGTTGGTACATTTTATTGTCTTCCATTGTTTGAATATTCCATAATTTATTAAGCCATTTGTGCTGATGACATTTGACTTTGTAGTTTGGGGCTATTGTGAATAATGCTGCTTTGAGCGTAGTTTCATATTTCTGATAATGCACAAGCATATATGTTTGTCTTGGCTATATAACCTGGACTGAAATTGCTGGGTCATGTGGGATGTATATATTCATTTCTGTAGGTGATGACAGTTTTCCAAAGTGGTGGTGAAAATTGGTTTTCCAGCAAGCTCTTTTATGAAGTTAGATAAGATGATACTAAAGTTGCCTGCCTTTTTCTTACTTAGTTTATATTCCAGATGTGAACGTTATGGATGGATATGTTTGTCAGATATTTTCTCACACTCTGTGGCTTTCCTCTTCGTGTTTTAATTGATATCTTTTGATGAAATGAGTTCATAATTTTAATGTCATCTAATCTTTATGGACAGCACTAGTCTGTTCCTGTGTGAGAAGTACTTGCCTAGCATGAAGGCAAGAAGCTACTACATTTTCTTTTACAAGTTTTATTGTGTTGGTATACACATTTAGATCTACAGTCCATCTGAAATGGATTTTTTTTTGTGTATTATGTGACGTAGGATTAAGATTTATTTTTTTCCAGATTGACCCAACATCATTTATTTTAAAAATAAATCTTTATTATTTGACATGTCATCTTTGTCATGTACTGGATTCCATTATGTATTTATACTATTTCTGGACATTATTCTATTCTGGTCTGTTTTTCTCTTCATGTACCATGCCATGGGCTTTTATATTAAAACGGGCTTTATAGTTTGGATGTCTGGGAGGTCTAGTTCCCCTTTTGGTTTTTTTCTTTTTCAGTGTTTTCCGAGGTTTTCCTACTTTTTCTTTTTTTTTTTTTTTAATATGCACTTTCCTATTACCTTGTTCAGTTCCATAAAATTAGCTTGTTGGTATTTTATTGGCATTACCTTGAATTAAAGTTAACTTGGGGAGACCTAACATCTCTATGATATTAAGTTGTCTTGTGCAAGAACAGGGAATGTCTTTCCCTTTGTTCCAGTCTACTTTAGTTTTTGTCAGGAATGTTTAAAAATTTTCCTTATACGAATTTTCTACATTCTTGTTAAGTTTTCCCTAAGTATTTAATCTTTTACTGTAAATAAAATTTTCTCTACTGATATGTCTTCTCTTCACAGTTTCTGTATATGGAAGCTACTAACTTTGTATCTTAATTTTGTAACTTGCTACTTCACTGAATTATTTTTTGAGTTTTATTATTGCTTTTCTGGGGTCTTTCAGGCATGCTACCATATCCTCGACAAATTGAGGTATCTTTACTTGTTTCCAAGTTCTTACACCTCTAGTTGTTTTTGCCTGTCTAATTGCATTGCCTAATACCCGTAATACAATGCTAAATAGTAGCAGAGATAATGGGCATCTTTGCTTTGTTCTACGGGTAATGCCCCTATTGTTTTCCATTAATTAAGATGTAGTTTTTTAGAACTAAGGTATATATTTATTTTATCATAGTGAGAGGGTATCCTGTATTCTTGAATGATTTATCATGAATGGGTGTTGAATTTCCTCAAAGTTTTTTTGAACATCTTTTGAAGAGGACCATGGTTCCTTTACTATTGTTTATTTATATAGTAATGATATTAATAAATTTCTCAGTATTCAACAAATCTTGCATTCCTGGAATGAATTTCACTTTGTCATGGTGTATTATCTTCTTAATGTGATTTTGGATTCTGTTTGTTAGTAATTTGTTTAGAATTTTGCATTTGTATTCATGAATGACAATTGGTCTGTAGTTTTCTTTATACTGTCTTTATCTGGCTTAGGTATTAGTATTATCTTTGCTCATAAGAGGAATTAGGAATTTTCTTTCCAGTGCTCTGGAATAATTTATACAGCCTTAGGACTATGTGGTGTTGGGAGATTTGGTAGAATTCTCTATGGAATCAGCTGGGCCAAATGCTTTTTGGTGGGCTATTTCCTTTGGAACTTTATTTCTTTTATGGAAATTGGTCTGTATGCTTTCTAACTTGAATATTGAGTCAATACTAGTAATCTGTATTTTCCTGGAAAATTGTCCATTTTGTCTAGTGTAGTTAGAGATTAGCAAAGTAATCTCATAACTTTTGAAATATTTTCTGATTCAATGGTCATTACTTATTTTTGTGTATTTGCTGTGTCTCTTTTCCTAGACCAAATGAGCTGATGATTTATTTGTTTGCTTTTCCTCCCAGAATAGAATTTTGACTAATTAGATCTATTGTTTTTCTGTTTTCCTCATTAATTCCTGCTTTTATCTCTATTCCTTCCTTATGCTTTCTTTTGGTTTGTTTCTCTTTTCTTAACTGATAATTAATTCTTAATCTTTCATTTTATTGACAAGTGTTATGTGCAGTGAATTTTCCCCTGATCACTACTTTATAATGCATTCCATAGATTCTAATATGTAGTCTTGATTATCATTATTTCTTTAAAATTCTGTAACTTTAGTTTATAGTTTCCCCTTCACTCAAGAGTTAATACAAGGGGCCAGCCCGGTGGCACAACAGTTAAGTTTGCACGTTATGCTTCTCGGTGGCCTGGGGCTCGCCAGTTTGGACCCTGGTGCGGACATGGCACCGCTTGGCAAAAAGCCATGCTGTGGTAGGTGTCCCACGTATAAAGTAGAGGAAGATGGGCATGGATGTTAGCTCAGAACCAGTCTTCCTCAGCAAAACGAGGAGGATTGGCAGTAGTTAGCTCAGGGCTGATTTTCCTCAAGAAAAAAAAGTTAGTGTGAGG